CGTAATTGCTAGTTAAATGTTTTACTTTATTTGAACATTCTAATTTTTGACCAGGCAGTGCTTGTCTAAATTTTCAGAGTTGACTCTCCAATCCGTTTGAGCTCTGCATCCTTAACCCCACCCTGTACGATTTGTGTTTGTGCCCCCACAAACAATTAACGCGCAGAAGTTAAACAATTGTGAGGTGGTCGCGTTGCTTCGGGAGACGCTGCTGCCTTGGCAAACCACTCGCCAGCGACTGCCTCCATCCAATTTCGATTGAAAGCTTTCGTGACTGCAGGGATTCATCTTCTTGGTTCTTTCGGTAAAGTCACGTAGAAGGGAAATAATAAAGTAATAAAAATGAAACATAATGCCTCCATCGACTCGCATTTCCCCCGGTGTCCCTCCGCTCCAGAAAAAAAAAACATGGGAGATTGAGGTGGCCACGTGGCACATGCAGGAGATGCTCATCCTGAAGGCAGAAAGCCAACGCCGCTGCATTGGAATCGAAGTTTGAGCAGCCCGCGGTTACTCCAATTAACTCTTTTAAAAATGTTTGGCATTTTACCAGGTAAGGCCTACTGAGATATATAGCTCTTGTACCCAGAGAAGCCTCGCTCAGCCTCACAGACCTCGTTTTCAGAGGGGTCCTGCCAAGCGTTGGTGATGCTGTGCATACTCTGGGTTGAGTAACCTACAGGTCATTAAGCAGCATTGAAGTGTTTTTTTGCAATAGCACAAGCAAGCTAGAGGAGGAAACCAGAGAACATGGAGGAAATTCACGCAGAACAGGGGAAAACATAAACTATTTAACTACTACTATTTTTATTTCAACAAGTAAGGCCCACTGAGCTTTTTTGCTCTTTTTCAGAAGCGACCTGGCCACAAATGATAGCTCAATGAAGTGGCTTATGATGTGGAAATCTATAGCAGCCAAATACTCTAACCAGTTGCATGTACATCTGCAGAATGTGAAGAACCAGTTGCATCTACATTTGCAAAACATGAAGAACCAGTGGCATCTACATCTGTAGAACGTGAAGAACCAATTGCATCTACCTCTGTAGAACATGAAGAACCAGTGGCATCTAAATCTGTAGAACATGAAGAACCAGTGGCATCTAAATCTGTAGAACATGAAGAACCAGTGGCATCTACATCTGCAGAACATGAAGAACCAGTGGAATCTACATCTACAGGAAATTATACAACTTTTAACGCCATTCTCCGTGTTTAGTGTACACGCCGTACAACATGTTTGGAATCGGAGTAAAGTTGGACTTACGAACAAATCTACTTACCAACAGACCTCTGTAACCTAAATTGTTCGTAAGTGGAGGAGTCCCTATATATTGTTTTTAATTGAGGTATACACACGAGTCCGGTAGGGATTTCCGGGGGAGGGGGGGGGGCAGAAAAACCGCGAGGGGAAGGGGGAGCCTTCAAGCGCTTGTACAAAGTCTAGGGATGGGGAGAACAAGCTGCTTACACCACCGGTGTCTTCGGAGAATGTCAAAGCCGGGCGACGAGGCGTTTATTCAGGACGTGCACCGTTGTTCCACTCTGCTCGCCAGCGTTCTTGCGGATCGGGGTGAGATTCTTGGACGATGACCAGTAGCAGTGCGATCCAAGGAGGGTGGTTGGGACTTAAGTGCTTTTATGACAAACGAGCATGACAGATTTTGTCAATTTTATTGAGAGCAAATGTGAATTGCAAAACGGAGAGAAAATGGGCAAAGCTATTTATATATATTATTTATCGTTTTACCACAGAAAGCACCGTCTCACTAGGATTGAATTTGATGAAATGTGATTTCTTGTGCATCCAAGTTAAGCAAACCAAAGCACACTCAATTTGTTAACACCAGCTGCGATGTAACAGCTGTCACTACCCAGCAATGTAAGTCTGTCTCCTGGATTTGGCACTGTGTCCTCCCCCCTGACCTTTACCAGTCCCATTTATACTTGCTGGCATGTCTCTCAGTAGAGCAGCACGACTCATGGAATGTGAGGCTGTGGGTTGAAATTATTGTCCAGAGTCAACTCAGGCCATCATCAATCATCATTAATCATCCATCAGTCATCTAGCATCATTGTGGAATCAGTAAAACATGTTTTTATTCGGTGCAATTGTGAACAATAGTCGTATCAGACAGTAGTACATCTAATCTGCATAATCATTGGTTCACTGCCAGATGAAGTTGCCTTGCTCGATTCGGAAGTTGACCTCTAACTAACAACGCACCTGACCTTCCCACCACATTTGAGTACATTTATTGTTACTATTATTGTTTTTTATATCTTGTTTGCACTGTCTCCTTCGTATCGTTCGTTCGTCTCATTATTTCCATCTCTTCTCGTGTATCCAATCCGCCGAATAGTAATATCTGTGCACGGTTTGCGTGACTCGTAAACAGTTGCTTCTCACACACGCGATTGGACGCGTGTGCATTGTGAGCGTGACAGCGGATTTTAATCTGTGAATCGTTCAGCGTCCGCGTGGGAAGTCAGCAGCGGTTGACGTGTGGGATCCCAGTTCCCCACCTGCAAAATCTGGAATTCCCTCCAATGCAGTCAGAATCGCGACTGGAAATGAGCACCACAACATATTTGCTTGAGCAACAAAGCCATCTATCCTGAGCAACAAAGCTATCTATCTGACAAAGCTATATTTCCGTGCACAGTGTACTCTGCCGTGGTGCAGTGGTTGGCACACTGCACTTGCAATCCAGAGGTCGCTGGGCTCCATTCTCCTTTCTGGCAAATATAAACAGGTACACCACAGTTAGCAGATCGCATTGGCCAGTGTGGAAGAGTAGGCCAGTTACCCTCTAGAGGGGGGGCTCTTTAGAGCACCCTCTAAGTGGAGGCTTTTTTTTAATACCAATAATGCTGTGAGGAAGCAATTGCAAGTCTGTGCCTTTATTTTTTTTACAGCGTACGGTAATGCATCATACATAACTATATATGTACTGGATAAATTTGCACATCTGTGGGTGTCACATCTTGCAGTCCAGTGTGCCTTCGCGGTTAGAATATATTATTAATATTCATTGGGAAGGGATCTTTTTATGGTAAATAATGTCTATAATGCAAGCATTGCTCCGCTGTTGTAAAGGCATAAATAAAAAAAAGAAAGATGTTCTTATCAGTGCCGGAGAATTGACCGTGGAAAATTGCACACGCACTAATCTGACCAACACTGCGAGCAATTTCCTTCTCCTGGAGTTCCGCACACTCTCTCTCTCTTCGTATGGACCTTTCTAGTGCCTCGACATGATAAGGTTTTTTTTTTACTGCAGCAGTGAAATTGCTTGCTACCCAATCATCAGAATTATTTCTAGTTTTTTTTTTTTACAAGTCGACCACTTTCATATAAAAAATAAATTATATAATTGACGGTCTTATTTTGGAGAAAGAGGGGGGGTAGGGTTGCCGTCGTGATGTATTAATCACTCGAATCCATATAGGCTCATGACGGCTTGAGAAGAAATATGCCCCTGTGCTGTAAGCTCTCTCAGCCGAGCGAGGCAAAGAAATTGAGTTAACCATTGTAGGCTCTCAAGCTCGCCAGAGGATCCAGGGACCTTTTGGTGGCTTAAGGAAACTTCCACGTTCGGCTTCTTTGCAGGTTTGGATTCATGTAAGCGTTAAGTCGAGTCAGAGTGTATCCAGCTTAAACCAGCTCTCCAGCAATGTCCCTCCTGAGCCAGCGGTGGAAATTCGTCATCCCTGTGACGGGGGCCGCTTTTTGAATTCTCACAACAACGGTGCTCATCTCCGTTGGCCCGAGCGATGACGATGGGCCGAGCCAACTGTGGGCGTGGGACACTCTGTCACGGCGTCACCTGGACGGACAGCGATGGCGCGGTGTGGAGAGAACGGTTCAACCTGGTTAATGGCTCTCCAGGGCATGTTGTGCTTTTTAAATGTAACTGTTGTATAACTTCAGTACTTGTGCTTTGTGGGGAAAGTGATACGTTTTAGGGGGAAAAAATGTGAAATGTTACTCTGCACGTTTCGTCTGCCTGCGCATTCCGAACAATTTAAAAAAAATATATTTGATCAGGTAAGGCCCACTGAGCGATGTAGCTCTTTTTCAGAAGCGATTTGCCCAGAAGTGATAGCTCAACAAAGCGGCTTATCACGTGGAAATGCATCGCAGCCAAATACTCTCAAGGCATGTTTCTTTATGTGGAAGGAAAAACCGGAGGACCCGGAGAAAAATCCACGTGAGCACGGGTGGAACATACAAACTCCAAATATACAGCATGCGTCAAGGTCGGGATTGAACCCACGACCTCCTGTATACCAGGCAAGTTAGTTAACATCTCCTAGCCACCGTTGCACCCCCATTCACGACTAATTGAAGCAAGATGTCACTACCTGAAATGTCCTCTCACTGCAGTGAACAGTCTCCCTGAATCCAATCATCTTTATGTGAGCAGGTGACACGAATGTGGTGGCATGTGGGGCTTTGGTCTGGTCTTAACACGAATAATTAATCCTGTTACCCAAACCCTCTTGAGCTGGACGTCTTTGCTCGTGCAATTTGGTGCCGATTTATAGAATCCCTCCCTGTTTCCTTGCCGGAGACACACTGGCCGATGTTCCTGGTGCTTAACGCGGCCTCAAGAGCTGAGCGGCGCGTTCCTAAATGCACTCCTCGTTTATTATCGTTACCCAGCAGGGTCCCGAATCGCTTGCCACCGCGATGCATCACCAATTTAGAGAGGGTCACCCCGCGTTAAGTGGCAGAGACGTACTGTGCTGCTCCTGCCGTAAGTGCATAGATTGGCCGCGGCAGCCACGGAGTTCGCAAGGCGTACGCCCGGCAGGCTGGGCGTGCAGGCGCCGTGCACGCTGCAGCGTGTGCATGCGCACGTGCGGGCGGGGCCTGCTTGTCCGTGCGCTCCTTAGCGAGGTCACGGGGGTCGCAGAAGTTTGAGAGGGCCACGATCCTTCAGGCCAATGACACAGAACCCCCCCCCCCCAACCCCTCCTCCCTTGTGCCACAGCATATCCCCGAACCTGGAGCTGGAGGCGCTGTTCCGCAGACACTTCACCCAGGTGGAGTTCTACCAGGGCTCGGTGCTCAACCCACTGGACCTGGCGCGCGTCAAGGTGAGGCCGTGGGGGGCAGCAGCGGCAGCAGCACACTCACCAACAACAACAACGATGACGACCGGCATTAGCCACTAAGTGGCGGCGACGTCACCACGGCGCCTGTGCCAGGCCGGGTGCACTGTGAGGCCACGTTACGTGTCGAAGGTTCGCTGCTGGCAGGAGGTTACGGGACAGTCACAGGTGCCATGGGTTGCCCGACTGAGATGACTAGCAGATGCACCAGCTGTGCCCTCTACTGTGCCAACTTACTGCACACTCAAAGACAAAGATCCCCTGTATAGCCTTAGTAGACTATTGGGGCAAGTGCTGTTAGTGAGCACCTATGAAGGCTGGCAAGACACACGAACAGGTGGGTGGCAAGCACCACGCCCGGCCGCCTTTATCTCCCTAGTTGTAATGTTTTTATATGCACTCCCAGGTACTTATTTGAGGCTGAGTCGACATAGGGGAGGCCCAGGACTAGTTCAGATAATTGTCACGAGTGTTGGCCATGAGTGGGAATCGAACTTGGGTATCCAGGTTCACTACACTACCACTCCCCACTACACTCAGCACAACAACAACCGCCATTCGCCACTAAGTGGCGGTGACATCACCACGATGCTTGTGCCAGGCCATGTGCACCTTGAGGCCACGTGAAGTGTCGAGCGCCCGCTGGCAGGAGGTCACGGGGCAGACCCAGGTGCCACGTGTCGACTGACACTCAGCACACACACACACCAGCATCATAATAACCGCACTCACTTATACGACATCACTTCCCTTACGTGGTAACATGTTCTTCAGCCATGTAACACCGCATCTTGGTTTGAAAAAGCTCTGGATCATACCCAAGATCACGCTAGCGAGATGTTATCTACCTCACCTGATATACAGGAGGTCGTGAGTTGATCCCGACCCTGATTGTCTGTATATTTGGAGTTTGCATGTGGATATTTCTCTGGGTCCTCTGGTTTTTCCCTCCACATTTAAAATCAACATGCGTTTAAGAGTACTGTATTTGGCTCTTGTACATTTCCACGTGAAAAGCCACTTAGTTGAACTATCATTTGTGGCCAGGTCGCTTCTAAAGATGAGCTACATAGTTCAGTGGGCACTATCTCGTAAAATAAAAAAATTGTTTTAGTTTATCACAGGAACAGCCATGGAATTCAACAGTGCTACACTGCCCTGCTAAACCACGTACATTTTCACATTGCAGTGCCTTACACAATCCTGTGTCTCTTCTCTGCTTCCAAATATATTCCAATCATGCACTTGGCGGCCTGTCGTCACACAAATGTGTTTTCACTTGCAGAGGAGAGTGCACCACCCTGTGTCTATGAATGGCCTTGGTTCAACTCGGCCCTGGAGGATAACATCGCTGCTTTAAGAAGCCTCCTTTTCCAACATGAGGGCCATACTTTTTTTTATATATGCCCTGCAAAGAGTGTTATTATTGAATGGCTTTTTATGCCCTTTGATTGAATTTAATAGAAATTTAGATTGATATTTTAACCCGTTTTTATAGTCGCTTCTCTGGGTTCCACCGTTAATCATTTGCCTGTTTCTATTTTGTCTTTGGTTTCCATTGTGTTCTGATTGGGTTTTTACTGGTATGTCAGTGTTTTACGTGAACATAATTTTTCATAATTGTTTACTGCTTTTAAGATGACTAATTTGAAAGGTGTTTTTTTAAAAACTGAGTTCATTATATGCATGTAAATCAAACCCGAGGGTTTTTTAACTCTCTGAACTGGAACAGGCTGCGCCAAAGTGAAATCCCACATTTCACCAGTTTTTGTTTCCAATGCCACCACTGTTACCCTGGCTGAGGCATCACCTCGCTGTACGTGAGAATCCAGATTCATCACGAGTGGACGATACCTAGATTCAAACCCAAAATCTCGGCAGTGTTGGCTCAGCTCTCTGATGCAGGATTAGCTCCCGGAGGCACCACCAACAATAACGACAACCGTCGTTGACCACCAAGTGGCGGTGACGCCACCATGGCGCTTGTGGCACGCTAGGTGCACTTTGAGGCCATGTGAAGTGTTGAAGGTTCGCTGGACGGGGGGCAGACCCAGATGTTACGGGTTGAATGACTGGAGAGAGTGGCAAATGCACCAACTGTGCCTCCTACTGTGCCACCTTGCTGTGGTTTAGCTGCCCGGCACTCCGCTCGTTGTTGTGAGTGTTGCTCCTCCACCCTCTGCTGTTGTTGGAGGGTGACTGCCACCAACTGCCCAGTAGTGTTCTTCACGAGCCTCCTCCACAGAGGCAGATCGTGACACTGCTGGTAGCAGTCAATGGCAAGTCCACTCAGGCTCCCCATCCTCCTGTACCACAGTAGCCCATCGTAGCTACCATCATGACCTTCAAATTAGAGCGAGGCATGGACTCACCTCTGCTACCCTCTGTGCAGATAGGTGAAATGAGGGATCTCATGTTCAATCAGGATGAGGAAGCCAAGGAGTTGCTCAACAGTAGAACCCCCAATGCATTGCACTGTCAAGTTAATATTCATTACTCAGCTAACTGAGGCCACGAGAGGTGATATTGCCTTGCGTTCATGAATAATGCAAGGGAATGGATTTAAACGAGCATTATTAAACTCATTCCACATGCCGAAATTGCAATGTTAGAAGTAATTTAGAGAATATAACAATTGTATTAGTGTGTGCGTGCATATGTTTTGGCACGCCATAGGCAAAATCACCTTTAAATCACTATTCTGCAGCAACCGATTGATTTTCTGGTTGTATTTACTTGAAACGGCTTTACGCAGGATTGATCCACTGGGGTGCTTGCGTTGGGTTCACAGCGACTAACATCAACCCACTCGCAAGAGAAGAACTGATTTTAAGAATGATTGATTGTCCACTTCAGGGGAAAATGTGCTCAAACGATATATGTTATTGATCTGTTGTGTGATTATAACTGGGATACCATTGTTAATTAATGCTCCTAATAAAAAAAGACCGTGGGATCTTTAATGGCAACAACATAGACGTGTTCTAACTTTAAAGTTACATTTTTGTGAGGGAAGTGTTTTTAGGCAGGAGCTCATGTGTTGGGACACTGTCAGAGCAAGCCTTGCTCCAGCTGAGGTAGAAACCACACGGAAATGTTGGACTATCAGCAACATTGTCTATCATTTCCTCTTGATCTTGATTACTCTTAAAGTGTGATAAAAAAAAAACTCATTCCATGTGACATAATTTGCTAAAATAGAATTTTTTTGCCAAAATTTCACTTCAAAATTCAAATTTGTCTCAAATGTATCTATTTTCGGTGGTGGTGTGTTGTGTGTGTGTTTGGCAATTATTCCATCTCCTGGTCCTACCTCCTCCTCCAGCCCACTTGGTTAGCCCACTGTGAGACTTGGCCGTACAATTTGCTACATTAAGAATATGTTGCTTGTGATGATGATGATGACGACATCACGTGATTGCATTTTGACTATTGTTTTTGTTGCTGTTATTCTTTGCACAGATTGAGGCAGCGGATGCCTGCATGATCATTGCGAATAAGTACTGCCCAGACCCTGATGCTGAGGATGCTTCGAACATCATGAGGTGGGCCTCTCACAGAGCACGGAGCGTCATGGGGAATGTATGTATGTGTGTATGTTGAACTTCTTTCGCACCGTACGTAGCCAACTGTGCTAATCGTAGGTGCAGGAGAAGGACAACAAACTAAACCCCAAAAAGCAGTTCGAAAGAAATTAGTTTTCAAACGAGATTATTTAATAGGGCAAGGCTCAAGTGGCTTCCTAACATCTGAAGGAAGAGCGTTCCAGACGGCCACAGAATCGCATCTGAAAGCCCACGACGCAGTGACTGTCTTTGTTCGATGGCCAGCCAAAAGCCGCTGCGAGGATGACCGGAGTTCATGCTCCTTGACGAGATCAGCAAGGTACTGTGGTTCATTTGTGGCAAGAACTTTGTGTGTAATGAGTGCAACCTTTCAATTTAAAGCTTTCATGACTGCAGGGATTCATCTTCTTGGTTCTTTCGGTAAAGTCACGTAGAAGGGAAATAATAAAATAACAAAAATAAAACATAATAAAATAATTCTCACGACGTTTCGGCCACAACGCAAGCAGCCGTCCTCAGGTGAAGAACAGGTCTGCGAGAGAAGAACAGGTCTGCGAGAGACCTGTTCTTCACCTGAGGACGGCTGCTTGCGTTGTGGCCGAAACGTCCTGAGAATTATTTTATTATGTTTTATTTTTATGATTTAATTATTTTTCTTCTACGTGACTTTACCGAAAGAACCAAGAAGATGAGTGCGACCTTATAATGTAGTTCAGCGACCAGAAGCCAATGCAGCTCAGCGAGCACTGGACGGACACGGTCGGATCTTGCAGTACCTGTCACGACACATGCCAAATAATTTTGTACATGCTGCAGTTTGGTAATGTTTTTGCCAGACGTCCCGTAGAGTAGCGAGTTGCAATCATGGATCCTTGTCGATACTATGCTACATGCCACCGTGTTGGCTTTGTCATGACTCAATAGCGGCCGAATGTGTCATAGAGCCCTGATAGGAAAATTGCAAGACCTAAATATATTTTGCACGTGACGATCAAACGCCATATTCTGGTTGAGTATGGTGCCGAGGCTGTTTAGATGAGTAGAAAACGACATCCGGGAGTCCGCGATTGCCATACCTCCTACCTCCTCCAGCCCACTTGGAATGGTAGCAGTGCATCATGGGACTGCTGGGTCTTGGTTCCATACGTGGCCTCACGGCCTCTCCCTTTGGAGGAGAGGTTGTGGAGCACTTGGAGATCGTGGTTTTTGCGCAAGTCTCCCAACCTACTGTTTTAAGTCATGTGGTCAACAACATCAGAGGAGAGACAAAGGTGGCCAGCGGTGTGTATGTATATGTGTCTGCTGGTCTCACCGGCCTAAAGAGTGCCTCCTGGCAACACGTGACCAACACCTCGTTATGGCTAAACGGACGGTCGCTGTTATTTTCAATTCGTCTCGCACCCATGCTCATCTCCTCTCCGACCATTCATTACTGCATCCTTGGTTCTGGTTCTGGTAATATTGTTATTTTATGGTATTCAAGCACTATTGTTGCCTGCATTTCTGACGTGTTCAGTGACCAATTTCTGAACTGGTCCTGGGCCTCCCCGAGGTCAACCCACCCTTAAATGAGTACCTGATGCAGTGTCTAAACATCCACATTGGGGTCACTAAGGCGGGTGAGCACAGCGCTACCCACCCACTTCCTCGTGTGCCATGCCAACCTTGTATGTATGTTGAACTCCTTTTGCACCTTCCTTAGCCAACCGTGATAATTGGAGGTGCGGGGAAAGGACAACAAAACTGAACACAAAAAAGCAGTTTGAAAGAAATGAGTTTTCGATCGACATTTAAAAGTGCATAGCTCCAGTGACTTCCTGATATTAGAAGGAAGAGCTTTCCAGATGGCCACAGACACGGATCTGAAAGCGCGCGATGCAGTGACCGTCTTTTTTCGATGGCTAATAGGTGCTCACTCACACCACTTGTCCAGCAGCGTAATTCGCGTGGGGGGCAGGGGGTGCCTTCCCCCCCCGGCCAAACTACGAGTTGTGGGTCCCCTTGACAACCACCATGAGATTTGTTATCATAAACAACAATGTGCAAGAACAACACACTTACTCTTCGGTTCTTTCGGTAAAGTCACGTAGGTAGAAAAATAAAATAAAACAAAGAATAATATATCACGACGTTTCGATCGCAACACACTGCTGGATTGTTTTTTTCTGCCTGAGGACGACCGCTTGTGTTGCGATCGAAACGTCGTGATATATTATTCTTTGTTTTATTTTATTTTTCTACCTACGTGACTTTCCTGAAAGAACCAAAGAGTATGGATTCCTGCGGTCACGAGAGCTTCAAATCAAGATTGAACAACACTTATTTAAAACGCGGTTTACATTTTTTACGAAAATGCTTTCATTTACAGTCCTTGTTTTATTTTAATGAAATAAGAGCAGTTACGTGGTATTGCAAAGAGGTTCTACTACGTAGCTGCATTGGCTGCATTTTGCGAAGACGGAGCGCCCCATACAGCGATACATTTTCGAGATCGTGAGCTTAACGATGTGATTAGGCAAGAGGAGCCGAGATATGTAATAGCCTGGGTGCGACCATGCGAGACTAATTAAATATTGGGACCCCACGTGACCGATTGCTGCACCCCCCTGCATCACTACACTTGTCCCAAGGGTTTGTTCAAAGCTGCACAGGTGATCTTTGTCTTTTGTTCACAACATCAATCGGAGTGTAGGGTGGCTAAAACCGAGTGGCGTGGCTCAGCGGGGAGTGCAATCTCACCCCAGCCGGTTAACCTATAGTAATGACGATCATTAAACACATTCATATCTTGATTTTCATCCGTGACCTACTCCAAGGTGCCTTATATATACAATATAAGCCTGTCCAGCATACACCATCATCATCATACCATGCTCACATTTTAATAAAACAGCTCTCAAACATTCACCGTGTACCCTATTATTAAGCCTGTTACAATAATACTGAATATCAAAAATCGTCGAAATGCACACTCGCATTTACATATTCCAACCATTCACCATGTTCTTTGCTCATGATCCAAGCTAATTAAAAAATAGTATTTTTACAGGAAGGAGTCCTGTATTCAGACCTGACTTAAAATCAGAAATAACAAAAAAAAACGCATGACCAAAGCTGTGACAGAAGTTGGTTTCTGAATGTTGGAAATAATTGGACAAAACTCATAAACACATGGAGACATATCATGAGACATTTTTGCCAGTATCAAAATCTGAAAAATAAGAATATGTTTTACCCTTTCTGGCAATAAAACAGATGTTAAAATGTTCAAACACCAAATAGATAGTTTAACACGTAGGGTTTCGCGACCAATATCCATAATCCAGGTTTTTTGGGTTAAATTGCGTAAATATATAAATGTGTCGTTAAACCCGCCGCCACCCGACAGCCAACTAGTAAGGTTTGTCACGTGAACAGAACATGCCAAACAGTTACTAGTTCAGCACACCCGTGTGCTGGAGAGCAAAGCCACAACATTTACAATCTTGAGTACGTTTTGCCAATAATTGATTAAGCTAGTTGTAATTACTGGCGAAATGAGAGGCATAGCGCCGATGTTTTTAAATACAATGCACTCACCCAGAGAACCGCAGCGACACGACCGCACTCTACATCACACGTCACACGTCCTCCCCGCATGGCCTTGTGGAAGCCTCGGTACCAATAAAGTTATTTTTATATGAAACAAAACAATTTTCTGGTTACGTTCCGATGAAGTACAATTACACAATCTTGATTTGAAGCTTTCGTGACTGCAAGAATCCATACTGTTTGGTTCTTTTGGTAAAGTCACGTAGGTAGAAATAAAATAAAATTAAACAAATCACGACGTTTCGATCGCTGGGCACAACACTGTCTACTTGATGGACCTGTTCTCCACCTGAGGACGGCTGCTTGCGTTGTGGCCGAAACGTCGTGAGAATTATTTTATTATGTTTTATTTTTATTATTTTATTACTTCCTTTCTACGTGACTTTACCGAAAGAACCAAGAAGATGAATCCCTGCAGTCACGAAAGCTTTAAATCGAAATTTAGTACAATTACACATACGTCATCAGGATGGACATTTTTTAATTTAAAATTACAGTGCTGCTACCATTACCATCCTTAAGGGAAAGAGTGCTGATCTTATTTATGACCCTCAGGATCGGGTCTGCAGATTTGCTGAACATTCCTTTTAGGTATTGGGGGTATCTCAGAGTGACTACCTTGTGGTGCACGTGTAATGAGCGACTTCCGAGACGCGTCGTGTAGAGGGCTTCTTCTTATTTATTCTCACACTGGGCACAACACAGGCCGATACACATATATACACACGTCTCATCTCACTGGGCACAACACTGGGTAATATACAGACACGCCTCTACTTTAGCTACGCACAGCCGACCTCTCTACATAGTCCCATCGCCTACATCCAACCACACCGCTGACTGACTAGCGTGACGATGACGGCGATGGGAGCCGTGCAGAGCATCTTCCATGCGACCGGGCGACGGAGAGAGATGGTGGCGAGCAGCGACGCAGCCAGGACCCGGGAACCCGCAACAACCCTGAACCCTCGGTTCCATCCCCCTTAAATACCTCTCGGCGTGGCCCAGGCCCCGCCTCTGGCCACGCCCCCTTCCAGAACCTTCCAGCAGGTTCCTGGAGCTTCCCGACTAGCCCCACCTTTTACCTTTAGCCCAGATACGCCCCCTTCTGATTAGTTGTTACATAACCTTGCCCATACCCGTGATAAACCCTTCCAGGCTGACAGGTGGCGCCCTGTCGTTACACATGTAATCTTCGCTACTGGTGAAACAAATGCAGCCATAGATAGTACTGGCCGTATCACTCCACAATGTGCCATATGCCTTAACAGGCATTCGTTGAGATTACTTCTTCCTAAGGTCTCTACAATATTGTGTATGTTCATCGTGCCCTGTCCATCAGTGATCACGTAATTGTGCATTGTCAAGCTAAGTAATCTACCCACTAATGTATTCATCACAATGGGTAATAGAATAATTGTGTTGGTCTACTTGCAGGGTAATTTCCATCAAAAACTACCACCCCAGAATAAGGGTCATCACTCAGATGCTCCAGTATCACAACAAGGTAAGAATGGCACTGCAAATCATACGATTCCCAGGATTCAGGTAAAATATCTAAGTTCCAAGAGCCACAGCTCTTATTGTCTAAATAGTGCACGGTTACGCACTTTTTCGGGAAGAGCTGGGCTGATGAAGTGCCAGGCAACCTGGAGCTGAGTGGACTCGCTGACGGCTGGTACCAGCAGCGTCAGGATCGGCCCCCGAAGGAGGCTTGAGAATGACTCTAACGAGGCGGATGGCAGTGGGCATTCTTCAGCAATAGCGGGAGGCAGAGGAATGATGCTCACGACAACAGCACGCTGACTGCCGGGAATATTAAAGCCAGTAGATTGCTGGGGTGAAGGTATTGTTGGCTTAGATTCCATCTCTGCCCCATGAATGCATGGATTAGCTGTGCAGAAAATAAATTTGTCGACTAATAACGCTTGTATTTGGTGTTTATTTGCATCTTTCCTGTGTTTAAAGATGTTTTCTGAGCAAGAAGACTGTATTGTATAATTGCATTCGCACGACACTACGTCGTGGAGGTGCTATATGCCAATAATGCAGACAACTTCAGTTTTCTTTTGAGAATCGAATGCAGTGAGGCGTTTTAAATCACGTGTCTGCTGCAAATAAAGAGTGCCATACATTTTCTGAATTGCCACTGTCCGACCTTTCAAGCAGTCTTCAATCATTTTTAAGCAATCCGTCTGACTTTTGAGTTGTTCCTAAACTGCCTGAATCTATTTTTGGCAATTTGCCTGATTTTTTTTAAAGTATAAATCCTCAACTGGAGTTCAAATCCCAGTATCTGTTTTGTGTGCGTATTGCATTGAGAAGCTTAGACGTGTGCATGCAAGTGTAGGGGTGTTAGGGAGAGAGCCCGTTATGCATGGCAGCCTATGGCAAACAAACACAGTGGGCGGGGCTACGTAAGTGCACGGGGAGGTGCCCTCTACGACGTCCGAGCCAGGCACCCTGGGGGGGGCTGGTTCGAACGTTATGATCCCCCGGGGCCCCACCCCTCAGGGAGGGGTTGGGTATAAAAGGGGATGTATCAAAGGGCTCGGCAGTTATGTTAAAAGCTAACCAGAGAAGACTGAAGACGTCTTAGATAGAGCCCTGGACTCCCCTAGTTCGATGTCCTTATCAGGGCCGGACAGGACTGAGCCAGCGGCGTGGTCCCGAAAGCCAGAGCCGGTGCTCTTGTAAGAGCTGGTCTGGGACTCCGGGTACCGGGCCCGACTTACCAGTGTCGGGCCAGATAGCCTCCCCTAGCCCATTAGTGGAGGACTAAGAGGCAGGCTAGGAGTAGCTAGGACGTGTATCCTTAGCTAGTCGGGTGAGGGGGCCGATACCCCCTCCAGTGCTGTATGCCACGAACGTGCTGTGTCAAATAAACTCGTGTGCCTCCAACTCCGGTGTCAAGAGTCGTGAACGATATTACATCTGGTGTCGGAAGTGAAACAACAACGAACATGGACACGCGCCGGACGGCTCGAGTCAGGGTACCAGAGGCGGAGGACGCCACTGCAGTCGAGGAGCCCGAGACGGCCGAAGATGGGGCCGAGCAACCGGGGCCGGAGGCGTCCACACCACAGCAGCAAGACGAATGGGAACCGTCGACAGAGGGGCTGCGGCAGGCGCACGCAAAGCTGGCCGAGCTGTTGTACGCCGCTGCCGCCATGCTCGACCACATCACACAGCTGGGGGCTGCTGGGCCGCCACGGGGAGACGGCGGCCGTCGACCACAGCGCCTTCCCGCCATTTCAACGGAGCACCGTTTTGAAAATCCCGCCATCGCCGCAGCTGCTGTTGAGGGCGTGGCCGGCCTGAGCATCGCGTCCAACGGCGGGAGTACAGTACCTGCCGCGTCATCGCCAACGGACGGAACGTCACCACGGGCGCGACCGGCGATCCCATCGCTTGTTCGTGCCGACGCAGAACCGAGTGAGGGGGACGAGGGAGTGCATTCTTCCGCGGCAGCCGCTGCCTTACATCAGCGACTTCCTCCACTCAAAGAATTTGTGGGCGAGGAAGGCGACTGGGGTGGCTTCCAGCGGCGCTTCCTCGCTCACCAGGAGATGGCACAGTGGACGGACGCCGAGGCTCTCCGCGCGCTGCCGGCACTCCTCGACAGCGACGCCCTCGCCACTCTAACATCGGCACCGAAGGAGAGGCGTTCCACGCTGCAGAAGGCGATGCAAGTGCTGTCTGCAGTATACGGTCCACCGTCGGACTGTCGCCAGATCTTTTACGATCGCCAGCGGGGGGCGAAGGAGTCGCCCCTGGCGTACCGCACAAGCCTCCTGGCACTGGCAAAGGCGGCCTTTCCACGGATGGACAACGAAGGTGTCGACGCCATGGTTACGGAGAAGATACTCCTGCTGGCGGACGACTTAGATATCGTCATCGTCGCACAGGACGATGCAGAGATGTGCTCCCTCCAAGCGGCCCGACTCCTCCACGCAAACCTGTGCTCACAACGACGGAAGGCCAGCAAGGCGGCGAGCGGGCGTGCCATCGCTGCAGCCACCCTCCTGGCGGAAGAGGTTTGCGCCATCGAACATCAACGGCAGCATGGTGCGGGAGTACGGGTGGACCGGGGCGGTTCAAGCCGTCTCCAACATCCATCGTCGTCGCCAGCGCTCCCGCGCTGTTACAACTGCGGCATCCGGGGCCATGTCGCCTCGGGGTGCCGCTCTCCTCGACAGCGCGGGACGACACCTCAACGGGACGACGGCCCTCGTCACAAGCTCCACCATCATAACCCGGCAAGTCGCGGCACCCCTCATGTTTGGCCCACGCACACGCCCGTCACGCACTCAAACACCGCAACGAATGGGGGGCCGATATCGCGCACCATCGCACCATCACGCACCACTCTGGGTACTCATATCGAACCCGGCCAGTGGTCCGTGTTGGCCGATCGTGTGGTAGCCGCATCGTCGGGGTCGTCTGCCGTTGTGGGGTACATCGACGGGGTTGAGGTGCGCATCCTGGTCGATACAGGAGCATCGGCGACCATTATTTCGGAGTTAATTTACAATATTCTCCCTGTCCGGAGCCGTCCTTTGATGCCTGTTAACGTGCCATTCTATGCTGCTAGCGGGGGCTCACTTGGCATCATCGGACAGATTCGTGCCCAAATTTGTATTGGGGAAATTAAATTGTCTGGGCCGATTTTTGTTTCCTCCTCGCTGGCGGTTCCGTGCCTGCTGGGGACGGACTTCCTGGCCAAAATGCCGATTAGGATATTAATCGACCAGGGATGCATTGAGCTCCCATCGGGCCGACGCATGGCGTTTCTGCCATCGCCAGTGACGACTCGGACGGCGTTCGCGACGGTGCCGGCATTCGTAGATAGAACGGTGCGCGTCCCTCCGGGGGCACAAATGTTGATTCCTTTGAAACTTCGGCGGCCCTTCGCTAAGGGTATTGGGGCCCAAGGGGTTCTGCTGGGGCCGTCTAGGGCCGGGGTTAGTGGACCTCATTTACTTCCGGCCCAGACCATAGTAAGAGGGGACGGTGAACCCTTCATCGCGGTCCTCAATGTGGGCTCGCAGACGGTGGTGGTCCCACAGGGGACCGTGCTTGCTCACGCAACGCCGGTGCCATGTGAGGAACCCGTCGCAAATCACGTCAGCGTTGTCCCTGCGCCGCGACCGCATTCGGACAGCGATGAAGGGGGGCTCGAGGCGCTTTGTGCGGGATCGACGGACCTGTCGGATTCAGAGCGTCAACAACTTAAAACACTACTGCGGGAATTTTCCGACGTTTTCAGTCGAGATAAATACGATTTGGGTTGCACTCATCTGCTTCGTCACCATATTGATACGGGTGACAGCGCGCCAATACGCCAGAACCCCTTTCGGTTGAGTCCCGCCGAAAAGGACCATGTCAAATCGGCTATTGATGACATGTTGGCCGCCGACATCATTTCTCCTTCCACCAGCCCTTGGGGAGCGCCGATCGTCCTGGTTAAAAAGCAGGACGGCTCGTTGCGGTTTTGCGTTGATTTTCGGCGCCTTAACAAAATTTCGGTTGCCGACGCATACCCGCTCCCTCGGATGGATGAATCGCTGGACGCCTTGGCGGGAGCGCGATTCTTTTCCACACTGGATTTACTTTCGGGATTCTGGCAGCTTCCTCTGGATGATGATTCAAAGCCTAAAACTGCTTTCCGTACACCGCACGGCCTGTTCCAATTCAACCGGTTGCCGATGGGCTTACACTCAGCGCCGGCAACTTTCCAGCGTTTGATGGAATTGGTTTTGGCTGGATTGCAATGGGAGTCGTGCCTCATTTATTTGGATGACGTTATCGTCTTTGGTAAAACTTTTGACGAACATCTCCAGAGGTTGCGGGCGGTTTTCCTAAAGATGCGGCCTGCTAATTTGAAATTCAAGCCCCAAAAATGCCATTTGTTACGCGATTCGGTGCGTTATTTGGGGCACATCGTGGGACGCTCAGGTATTGTTACCGATCCCGCCAAAACGCAGTGTGTCAGCTCCTGGCCGACTCCCACCTCGGTGGGAGAGGTCAGGAGTTTCATTGGCTTCGCGTCGTATTACCGACGGTTCGTCGCTGATTTTGCGACAATTGCCAAACCCCTGCACGCTTTAACATCAAAAGGGGTTCGGTTCCACTGGGGTCAAGAGGAGGAGGCTGCTTTCTGCTTCCTTCGGGACGCCCTGGTAAAAGCTCCTCCCTTGGTTTACCCCGATTTTTCTAAGCCCTTTTTGCTCGACACCGATGCGAGCAACACGGGTATTGGGGGAGTGCTTTCCCAGGTGGTTGACGGCGGGGAACGGGTGGTCGCGTACGGTAGTCGGGTGTTGTCTCCTGCGGAGCAAAGATATTGTGTCACCCGTCGGGAACTGTTGGCAATTGTCTATTTCATCCAACAGTATCGCCCATATCTGTACGGTCGGCATTTCACCGTCCGCACAGATCATGCGGCACTACAGTATGCCCTGCGAGTTCAACAACCATCGGGACAATTGTCTCGATGGTTGGAGATTCTCCAGGACTTTGATTTTGAAACCACCTACCGTAAGGGCGTTCCCCACACAAATGCGGACGCTCTGTCGCGCATGCCAACCACCTCCGAATGTGCATGCCTCCTGGGGTCGGGACGTTGCAGGCCTTCAGGAGACGTATCGGTTCCGGTCTTGGCAGCCACCGACGACGACGAAACATTGATTACTAATTCGATCGAACAACAGGGAAGAGATTCCCTGTTGGGGTTGCCCGTCACTGAATGGGGGCGCCTCCAGATGGAGGATACCTCCCTCCTCGGGTGGCGTCGTCGCGTCGGGGGTGCTGGGCGGGTGAAGGGTGATTCTGATCCATGGGAAATGGTGCAAGGTCTGCTGATGCATTGGGACGGGAAATCCCATCGACATCGGCTGGTGGTCCCTTCTGGGTTGCGAGGCAAGGTGGTGTGGGCCGCTCATGAGCGCCTTCTACACCTGGGGACCCAAAAGACTCTCGCCTTGCTACAACTTGATTTTTTTTGGCCTGGCATGACGAGGGATGTTGGGGATTTATTGGGATCATGCCCTCGGTGTGCGCAACGAAAACCGCCGGCACGGGAGTCTAACCCACCCTTGCAATCGATCAAAGTGTCCAGAATAAACGAGCTTGTCGCGCTGGATATTTTGGGCCCATTCCCCGCCACCCCCAGGGGCAATAGATATTTGTTGACTGGTGTGGAGTATTTTACACGCTGGCCTATGGCCTGGCCCCTTGCCAACCAGTCGGCAGCAGCCATCGTGGAGGCCTTTGTTCAGGGATACGTCCTGGACAAAGGTGCTCCGGAGCGGCTGCTAACCGACCAGGGCAGAAATTTTTCCGGTAAACTACTCAAACAAGTCTGTGAGCTCCTGGGCACGAAGAAAATTCGTACCTCCCCGTATCACCCGCAAACTGACGGGATGGTCGAGCGCCTGCATCCCACCATCACGTCAATGTTGTCACAGCAGGTCTCGGACTCACAGACCGATTGGGACCTGCAAATTCAAGGGGTCTTGGCGGCATACCGGATGGCACCCCATGCAGCTACGGGATTTTCCCCCTTTTACCTCATGTACGGTCGCGAACCCGACCCGCCTGTTCGCGCCCAGCTGCAGATCCCCGAGCCGCAAGGAAAAACTAAATTGGCTGACCATGTAAAATTTAATCTGGCCAAATTAACAGAGGCGCGGGATGCTGCAATGCTAAACTCGGACCTCCGTCAAAAGGCGAATGAGCGCCTCAGACTGGGTCAGGCGCACATGATACAGTGGAAGCCGGGGGACAAGGCATGGCTGCACTGTCCCCAGGTGCCACTGGCAACCTCCTCTAAGCTGGTGCGGCCGTGGCGGGGCCCTGTGGAGGTGGTCGAGGTTTTGCGACCACAGTGCGTGCGCATCAAATGGGGGAAGCGGCGGTGGTTCGTGCACCCCTCTAGATTAAAACCCTTCATTGCGGTACACAAACCCACTTCACATACGCGTGGCCAAACATGTGGGGGGTCGACCGACTCACTGGGTCCGTCTCCGTCGCCCTCACCTAATGCCTTGCCGGCCGTGCCACCTCCAGGTACATCAGGACTGACGGGCTCACGCCCGACCACCCCTCCTGGGGATACCAAAGGTCGCGCGGCGTCGGATGAGGACTCACTCCGGGACGGACAATTGCCACCTGACGGTCCGCCACCCGGGGTTACCCCGTGTGAGGGGCCCGCTGCAAGGACGCGCGCAAAAATGCGCAGACTGTTGTGAGGCCGGAAGATGTGTACATAGGTTGTGTTCATTGTGTCTTGTGTGGGTGGTGTGTTCCCTGCCCATTGAATGTACATACGTTGGGTTCACCAGGTGTTGTGTGGGTGGTGTGTTCCCTGCCCATTGAATGTACATACGTTGGGTTCACCTGGTGTTGTGTGTGTGGTGGGTTCCCTGCAAATTGTATATAGGCTGTTTTTTTTACGGAATTCGTATTTATTCAGGGGGGGTGCGTCGGGTTGTTTTCTCTTCTTGCTGTTGCATTTTGTTGTGTTCTTGTTGCTGTTCTTGTTATTGTTGAAAAATAGTGAGGCACACGCGCGGTCAGGGGGTAAATGCACTTTTATTGTCATTTTTTTTTGTATGTTGGCAGCCGGGACGGCTGCAATCTATGCGGGGGGGGGGGGGTGATGTAGGGGTGTTAGAGAGAGAGCCCGTTATGCATGGCAGCCTATGGCAAACAAACACAGTGGGCGGGGCTACGTAAGTGCACGGGGAGGTGCCCTCTACGACGTCCGAGCCAGGCACCCTGGGGGGGGCTGGTTCGAACGTTATGATCCCCCGGGGCCCCACCCCTCAGGGAGGGGTTGGGTATAAAAGGGGATGTATCAAAGGGCTCGGCAGTTATGTTAAAAGCTAACCAGAGAAGACTGAAGACGTCTTAGATAGAGCCCTGGACTCCCCTAGTTCGATGTCCTTATCAGGGCCGGACAGGACTGAGCCAGCGGCGTGGTCCCGAAAGCCAGAGCCGGTGCTCTTGTAAGAGCTGGTCTGGGACTCCGGGTACCGGGCCCGACTTACCAGTGTCGGGCCAGATAGCCTCCCCTAGCCCATTAGTGGAGGACTAAGAGGCAGGCTAGGAGTAGCTAGGACGTGTATCCTTAGCTAGTCGGGTGAGGGGGCCGATACCCCCTCCAGTGCTGTATGCCACGAACGTGCTGTGTCAAATAAACCCGTGTGCCTCCAACTCCGGTGTCAAGAGTCGTGAACGATATTACACAAGCAAGGATAAATATATCGACTCTCATATTTAAGCAATCACAGATATCTGTCAGAGAGTCACAACTGGAAAACATGATACAATGCTGTATATATTTATATATATACGTCGGGCAGTCATTGAAGGCGGCTCGAGATCAAAATGATGAAGTAAAGGGTGGAAGAGAGCTGATCTTTGTGCATTTAAAAAAAGGAAACAATGGGAAGAAACATAACCGTGCTTTGAGAAATCAACGCTCCCGTTTTACGAGAGCAACAACCTAAAAAGCAGCGGAGGCGACCCGATTTTATTTAACAACATATCCACCGTCACGGTGTTTTCCAGAACACTCTTGCACTGCCAAAAAAACAACCGATAGAAATAAAAACTCCTCTGCCAAACTGAGAGCTCGCCATCAGCTGTAGCTGCCAGGGAGTGATGACAGCGTTCGAGCCGAGGTGGCGAGATGTTAACTACCTCGCCTGGTATGCACGAGGTCTTGGGTTCAAACCCAACCCTGAAGCCTGTACATTTGTAATCTGCACGTCGATCTCATCGTAGATCACGTGGCTTTTGCCGGTTCCTCCGGTTTTTCCCCTCCACATTTAGAAACATGCGTTCAGAGTATTTGGCTGCTATAAATGTCGTTGAGCTATCATTTGTGGCCCACGTCGCTTCTGAAAAAACAGCTACACAGCTTACCTGGTCAAACGAAAAAAAACATAGTTTAAAATGCAAAGTTTAGACGCGAACTTTGCGCGCGGTCGCGGTGCAGGCGCACCTGCTGAACATTCCGAGCTGGAGCTGGCGCGAGGGCGACGCGGCCATCTGCCTCTCGGAGCTGAAGCTGGGCTTCATCGCGCAGAGCTGCCTCGCGCAGGGCATCTCCACCATGTTGGCGAACCTCTTCTCCATGCGCTCCTACATCAAGGTGCGCCGCCACCACGTGGCTGTCGATCGGTCGGTTCAGCCCATCGGTCTTCGCCTGCGCGGCGAACACACTGCACGCCGTTAAATTGAATATACGAGTGTGGGGCCGTCCATAAATGACGTCACGCGATTTTGGACGATTTTTGACCCCCCCCCCCCCCCTCGGTCACACAACTTTACAAAAAGTCAGACCCCCCCTCAAATATGACGTCACAAAGCTCTGCCCCCCCCCCAACCATATTTCCATTTTGAAAATAAAGCATGCTTCAAATCGCTTTAAACTATTGTCATTGTCGTGCGTATTTAATGTGGCTCTGCACTCTGATGTTGTAGGAGTGTTGTTATAACAATTAGTGTTGTTATAACAATTGTATATAGTAATTTATAGTAGCGCATTTTGATGTGACGTCACATTTCTCAACCCCCCCCCCCCCTCGTCACACATCGTCACAAATGTCTGACCCCCCCCCCCAGGTGCGTGACGTCATTTATGGACGGCCCCTATGTCCGATACTTAGAATGTATAAAAGTAAAAATGCGGTTTAAAGTAACAAACCAATACACCCTTTGTCTATTGGTTTTATTTATAATAGATGCTCGTAAAAGCATCTATTATAAATCAGTAAGACAGATTATACAAATCAAGGAGTAACACGGACGAAACCCATCTCACCGCGTGTAATTGCGCTCTGTTACAGATGCGCCGCGGAGTTGGGATTTTTGAACAACTTTTACCTAAATGTGTCCAGACTTTCTGTACCCTCTGACGTTCGCGCTGGACGCTGATGCTGTGACGCTGACGCTTGACGTGGTTTGGGTTCACACCGGGAAGTTGCGATGCCGGCATCTGTGTCGCAGGTCTATGGGACAACTCCGAGGTGGTGTGGTCGAAACTTGTTGTTGTGACGCACACTCCCCTGGAAGCGAGGTGGCCCCAGTCCCATGGGAATGCGAGCCCACGGCTCATTGACATTGTATCACTGGCGTCGTGGGAAAACGGCCTCCAGTATTTATTGTAATTCGTTATCTGTTTTGCTTTACATAGACACAAATTAAGTGACACAGCAGCGTCCATTTATGAGCCGGGAGAGCCTCATGGCGTTTGAAGATTATTTTTAAGAAGGTGCTGCTTGGGATATTTGGACAAATGTTTAAGTATTTCTGTGTTTGTGAGTGAACCCGAGTGGCCAACAAAGTCACCCGTTCCAAAGGGTACAATTCTTAAATCCACGCATAGGTCAGCAACCTATTTGCTGTGCTTCCAGCTACTGTGTGCCTCGCAGCACTGGAGGTTGGTGTCTCGTATGCATTCTTCGTGTGATCCGCCAACACTCCAAAACCACCGTACTACAAGCATGTGGCACCGCACCCCAGCTAATACTAACGCCGTATTGTATACTATGCACATCGTGAAGCATCAGCGTTCACAGTAACATTAACCATCAGTGCATTCACAGTAACATTAACCATCAGTGCGTTCACAGTAACATTAACCGTCAGTGTGAATTATGTCCCTGTCCTGTATTGAGCAGCACAGTGAGCTTGTGAGTTGTCCGTCATGATGGAGTTGACTTTCGGCCAAACACTTGGCAGTGCCAACATTTTGAAGAGTTCAACTTTGGTTAGCGATTGCCTGCAAAGGTGACGTAAATGAAATATGATGTTTCACATGTAAATACATTCGTCAAAAAGTATTCCACTTATTGTTAAACAGTATTATGATTCTAATATAGTGACATATCTCGAATATTCTGACCATGTTTAAATCCCACAGATTTCTCCGTAATTAAAAAGCGCCAGTGTTAACAAAAACACTTTAGCAGCAGCTGTGTAAACACGCGATGGACTAAAGTGAATAGAATTGGTAACATTACTTTATCCGGACTTTTTTTATCAAACGGCATTGTGGCCGTAATCTCATGTGCTAAATAAACCACAGCCTGACGCAGCGTCGCAGTGGTTAGCGCACTGTTGTCGCAAACCCACCAACGTAAGTTCGATTCCCAGCCATGGATAGTATCGGCAGCAAATGGAATGAAAACTCATCCTGGGATTTCCCTCGGTCGAAGCGGCCATTAAAATAATACCTGGTGCGTATGTGTGTATGTTGAACTTCTTTCGCACCGTACGTAGCCAACCACGTTAGTCGGATGAACTGAAGAGACAATGGTGCCTGTGAATTCTCCTTGCCACACCACCTCATGCCACATGTCGGCCTCAATAGGTTCTCGATAACGGCACTTGCTGCATTGTTTCTGCACCCGTCCCTCCCCCAACGCAACTGCCTTCACCAACACTCACTGACCAGCATTGTGAAATGTGGATAAACAACCCCCATGCACCAACATGGCATGGGGATGCCCTCATCCAGCGGTGCATTGAGAATGAGATAAAAATACAGAAAGAACAGAGAGGGCAGTCCTCGGCCAGAGCTGCAGGCGGTGGCTCTTCGGCTGCCCCCTGGCGACTCTTTGGCTGCCCCCTTGCGGGCAGCCGTTTGTTTTTACTTAAATATGAAACATCACTTAACATAAAGATAATGTCTTAAATATGGCAGGGAATGGGTCACTATGGAATGTTTTTGTGACAACAAGATGTCCAAAAGTCAAACTGTATTATTCTTGAAGAATAACTAAGGGGGAAAAAAATAGATGCAGTTTATTCCATCGCCTATTTGGTTTATTAAAGTCAGAATGTGTTTGTCATCTGCTGTATTTATATACCTCCTTGTCCTCGGCCAAAGTAGCGTCTGTGAACATTCACCCATCTACTCATGTCTCTCTCCACACACGCCCTCTCCCAACCTCCCCACTCACCCTTACCGCCCATAGCCACTCACGCATGCAAACACAACTACTCTACACATCCAGATGTGGTGTCTTGTAAAATAAGTATGAATAGTGGATCACGTAAAGATGGAGAGACAGTGGTCATGCTTATCCCCCTTAGCTCTGGGGTCTCTGGTAGCCTGTCGATCTGAGACTGATCTCTACAGATGTTTGAGTGCTGTACCCTTTTTTGTTTGTGGGGTTTTCTCTGGGCACTCCAGTTTTCTCAAACGCAAAATAACGGAATTGAGCAAACATCCTGACGTTAGTTTAACACTTAGGCTTTCACCTTGACTTAAAGCTTTCGTGACTGCAGGAATTCATACTCTTTGGGTCTTTCGGTGAAGCCACGTAGAATTTTATTATTATTTTAAATTATTTTTCTATCTACGTGTCTTTACCGAAGGACCCAAATAGTATGTAGGCTTTTGCGACCAATATTATCCATAAAAGAGGTAATTACAACCATTCGCTGGTTGTAATTACCGGCGAAACGTCATACTCGAATTGTAAATGTTGTGGGTTTACTCTCCAACACACTGGTGTGCTGAACTAGTAATGAATTGCCATGTTTTGTTTACGGGACAAACTTTACTAATTGACTGTGTCGTGCGATGGCGGGCTTAATGACACATTTATATTCACGTGATCTGACCCAATCAAACCTCTATTATGGATCATGATGTTAGGTCCCCATGAAAATATCCAGAAGAGTCAGTGAAGCTTTCCCGCATGAACAAAGCCGTGCATATAGTGTTCTCATCCAGGCCATGAATGCAGTATGACTTGCCCATGTTGTGTTGTTGCACAACCAGTGAATGTTAACCCTGCTGTCTCGGCCACCTCCGTGTGTTTATCCTGAACGACGCTGCCTCTCAGATCGAAGAGGACACCTGGCAGAAGTTCTACCTGGAGGGCGTCTCCAACGAGATGTACACCGAGTACCTGTCCAGTGCCTTCGTGGGTCTGTCCTTCCCTGCCGTCTCTGAGTGAGGACAACATTTACAAACCACGACAGTGTTTCTTGAGGCAGCCAGCTGGCTCGGATGTCAGGTCGCTCAGGCCTCCTAGAGGCAAGGGTTAGAATCCAGGAAGCCTGCCTATGATTAACGTAACAATGTGTGGTGTTCCTTACAAATACTTATTTTCACCTGGGGGTATATTGCTGTACGGATATTGCATACATGTGCGGAGGTGATAATTCAGGCTGGCTTATGAATGGTATGTAATTACACTGGAGTCCTGCGGAGACTGCTGGTGGTTATTACGGGTGCCACTGACCTGGTTTTCACGGAGTTGATTGCTCATTTCCTTTCGTGTCTAATAGCGTGTGGAGGAAATTACCAAAGTCAGTCATTCTCTGTAATGTGGGTGTGAAAAACTAAAATCATGAAATGAGTAGGCCATTATTATATTCCAAGCGCATATGTGGAAATAGATATTTGTGAATCCACTGCTAAATGAAAGCCTCCCCATGGCATTTTGGTCATGCGGTTTGACCTTACTTCACTGCGGTTTGCAGTGCAGGTCGTTGTACATGGGCATTCAAGACTGGTTTCACTCGACAATTATATTATCAATGGCCAGGATTAAAACTGATCGCTGAGCTAAGAGCACAGTAACTACTGCGCTACCATTCCCAGGATCGATGTCAACATGACGGAAGGCTTTGATGCCATCACATCTCACGAATGCTCGCCAGATCCTGCAGCTGCCACACGGACCTTAGGGCATTAGGACGTTCTATTGATCGCCCGACTCGTGGAGACCACGGCAGCAGTGCCTGCCTCAGATTCGCTCGCTCCGGCACAGCGTCAGAGCCTAGACCAGAAGCATTGGTAAGGTAGGCCATCGAAGGATGTCAGTCAGCCTTGAGCCATCACTTCCTGTGCGTTCTCCTGCTCGCATGCGATCACTGCCGTAAAGCAGATTTGGGAGCTGAGCGATGCTTCGTGTGGTGATGTGACACCGGTGAGGTGACACTGGTGCGTGTTGCTGCATCACGCCAACGTGAAAGGGATGAGTTGGTTTCGATGTCGTTTTCAGGCTGTGCTTTGTGAAGTTGCGGTTGTTGCTCATTGCTATTGAATACCGCTCGGAGTACAGCTACGGCAGCAGGTATGTGCTCGAATGCTCGCAGGGCTGGTCAGATCATTACTTGGCCTGAGCACAACATGAATTATGAATGCTTTTCCATTATTTCTGACTAATTGGCATGTGGCTGCATCTGTGGCATTATTTAGTTGCTGCCTGCTGAAATGATATTAATTAATTTCATGAAATTAACAGATAAGTGCATGGTTGAAGCACTTCTCAATATGCAGATTTGGGTGTTTTCCCTGCCCCGTTTTAGGCCCCACCCACTTCTCTTTAGGCCCCACCCCCTCCTCTTTAGACCCCACCCCCTCCTCTTTAGACCCCACCCCTCCTCTTTAGGCCCCACCCCCTCCTCTTTAGACCCCACCCCCTCCTCTCTAGGCCCCACCCCTTCCTCTTTAGGCCCCACCCCCTCCTCTTTAGACCCCACCCCCTCCTCTCTAGGCCACACCCCCTCCTCTTTAGGCCCCACCCCCTCCTCTTTAGACCCCACCCCCTCTTCTTTAGGCCCCACCCCCTCCTCTTTAGACCCCACCCCCTCCTCTCTAGGCCCCACCCCTTCCTCTTTAGGCCCCACCCCCTCCTCTTTAGACCCCACCCCCTCCTCTCTAGGCCCCACCCCCTCCTCTTTAGGCCCCACCCCCTCCTCTTTAGACCCCACCCCCTCTTCTTTAGGCCCCACCCCCTCCTCTTTAGGCCCCACCCCTTCCTCTTTAGGCCCCACTCCTTCCTCTTTAGGCCCCACCCCCTCCTCTTTAGACCCCACCCCCTCCTCTTTAGGCCCCACCCTTTCCTCTTTAGGCCCCACCCCCTCCTCTTTAGGCCCCACCCCTTCCTCTTTAGACCCCACCTAGCGAGGTCACCTTTGAAAGGAGAAATAATTAAATTTCGATATAAAGCTTTCGTGACTGCAGGGATTCATCTTCTTGGTTCTTTCGGTAAAGTCACGTAGAAGGGAAGTAATAAAATAATAAAAATAAAACATAATACAATAATTATCACGACGTTTCGGCCACAACGCAAGCAGCCGAGAATTATTGTATTATGTTTTATATTTATTATTTTATTACTTCCCTTCTACGTGACTTTACCGAAAGAACCAAGAAGAGAAATAATTACCTTTTTTTTTGCTTTTCTGGTGATGTTTTTTACTTAAGTGAATTAAAATCACATCTGGTAATTCACGTTGAGGTTCAAGCAGCATAAACAAAGACTCAAAACGCTAACACGAAGGCTGGCCCACGATAGCGCTGCCTATATGGAAGGAATAACTCTAACCGTGACCCTTTGACTCGCTGCATGTGCTGCATGTCTCCTGAAAATGTGTGCGTTGTGGTTTGCGCTTCCCTCGGAACTCACAAACACATTAATTCAGTTTCGTATTTACAAGTGAATGCTGCTGTACTTGTACGCACTTACGTTGCATTGCTGAGGTGGGTATATGACCGTCGGTGGCTACATGTATGGAAAACGATCTTAGAAACCCCAGTTCTATTACTTGCCATGTAGGACACCAGTGGAAATTGGTATCCGAGGTCTCCTCTGAGCCTCACCGATGTTTTCTCAATGTAAATGTGTGTCAAGCACAGTTTGATGCGACATCTGCCCTGGGGAGATAACGCCAGCTGGGCATTCATGGTGCCAGCTGACATCACTGCCACCTGCTCCTTCCCCTTGTGTGAGCACTTGCCCCAGCAGTCTAATCGTTATGGTCTTTGTGTCATTGCGCCAGCATCCTTCTCAACCCTGGCAGCCACGTGAAGATACAGGATGGAACGCTGGCATTTTTCATCGCAAATGACTCCAAGGAGGTCAAGAGGTAGGGGGGGGGGTCCCACATTCGACACCTTTCTTAAAACACAATACAGACGCTGGATTTATAGAGGGTCGAAATGCACAGGCGCTTTTCTGCGACACAGTGCAACACAGGGAACCTGCACATCACGGGAGGAAAAGGAGGCCCGTGTAATTTTAGTTTAAGACAAAGAAAGTCCTAATATGATCTTTACCCAAGGATGCAGCCCTAGGTCCAAGAGACCAGGGTCTGGTGTAAGTGATGTACCTGTTAGAGGCTCTTGCACGACCTTATACAAGACGTTTAATGTCGTATAAATCATAAAGAGATCAATAAGTCATTCTTTGTAAACAAAAAATAGTTTTTGCAAACATCTTTCAAAGCTGACCACTGTGGCATATTTGCTGCTATTTGAATTATTTTATATGTTTGATTTTTGGCAATACTTTTCTTAAACTTAGTTAACATACCCTCAATGATCGACAGGATCTTAGATAACTTATTTAATATGCTGTATCGTCAATTATCAAGAACCTATTAAGTCATGTAATCAACAGGTATTAGACATGTTCAATTATCAAACAAAAATATAAATATGCTGCACTTCAATATGCTGTTGATTATCAATTGCTTGCACCTACTGAATCGACAATATATAAATACACTGTTGGTATATATATAGGATGTGCGTTCAAATGCTCTGGTCTGGTGGCCAGATACACACATGCAGCTAAATATCGCATGCTCTTTGTTGGCACGGTTGGTTATATCGTTACGTTTCCATGACTTTTAAGGAACCTACTTAATATATCCTAAATTATCGGCAGCGTCGAAAAAATAAAACGTACTTAAAATGTCGTCGTTAATTGAGGATTCATGAAATAATTGTGCGGCATGAAACCCTTTCCTCTTCCGAGACGTCTGCAAGTTGCAGGGATTTAAGATAACCTGCAGCAACACATTGGTGTGCTGAACTAGGAATGAATTGACAAACCATACTGATGGACCTTGTCGGGTGGTGGCGGGTTTAACGACACATTCATATTTACGCAATCTCACCCAAAAAACCTGGATTGTGGATATTGGTCGCGAAACCCTGCGTATTAAACTATCTATTTGGTGTTTGAACATCTTAACACCTGTTTTATTGCCAAAAAGGGTAAAACCTATTCTTATTTTTCATATTTTGATAATGGCAAAAAGGTCCCATAGATATGTCTCCATGTGTTTATGAGAGAAAAAAACCCCCTCTTTTGGATCATATTGGTCACGAACGCCTACTACTACTGCACCATTGTTTCAACCTCCATGCCGGGAGACTGAACTGGAGGCCTCTGGAAGTTCAAGTGTGCTGAGAAACAAAGGCAGCATCGATCGTTGTGAGGGTGGGGTGAAATTAAATTACGTGGCAATAAACCATGTGATTTCAACGGAAAATAATCAATAATGTTGGCAGATTTTTTTTTTTGGTATCAAATTTATATATTCCAAATATATGAAAATCATAGTTTTGCTACGTTCATATTATTAACATTGAAATTGTTCGAGTTAATAGTTTGCTGTTTACATTTGCAGCGATGTTTTCTCACATTCTTAATGAACAGTATTCACTTTTGTTATTTCCCACTCAGCTGTAGTTGATTTGACGTTTTCGTCTGCGGACTTTGCTTTGCATATCCATTTGCTGGGTTTATTTTCGTCGGTATTTTTTTGCGAGTGAAATTTTTGTGCACGCTACTTTTGCGTCACACTCGCCTGTATCCCGTGTGTACTCGGTGGGCCGTTACCGGGTTCTACATTATCACTCACCGAATCTTGTGTGCTCTGCTTACGATACTCTCTTACGTTACTCACCACGACTGTGGAACCCTGCAGGGCGTTTTACTATTGCAAAGCGTGCCACGAGGACGTGACCGACCCAAAGAAGATTAAGAAGTGCTCCTGTCGACAATGTGAGTCCATCGCACGCCTTGCTCCCAGAGGGAGACTCATTCTCGCCGCACGAGTGTGGCAGTGTAGTGGGTGGCGTGGTGGTCATCGTACCGCGCCGCCTGGGTTATAGTATCGTCAATGAATGTTACAATACGAGAGACAATCAGTATTAAGCGACCTGGCTCAACCTCCCCCTTGGTTTGTTTCGGCCTGAAATGATGACCCGATGCGGTAGCGCTGATATTTGCACTGGGGTGCTTGTCCACGCCACCCCTCCTTGTTGTGTGCCGTTGCGGATGTTAATTGGCCGTCCAGCTGTCCCGGCAGCTGACAGAACGACACGGCTTATCCGTGTGTTGGTCAGCAACACGCAGGAGGGCACAATCCTTGACAGTGCTAAACGCAACATCTTATATTTACGTGTCGTTAGAGTCTTTCTCTCGTCGAATAGAACTACTGCTATTTACTCTGCTATAGACCGATGGATGGAGTGCTTAAGTTATTATTTGGTCGATGTAGTTGGGTTGACTTTGTTTTTTTTAATGGAAACAATAATTAAGTAGTCGAGTTATCTGCCTTTCAATATAACGTTCCATAGACCAATGCATTGGATTTGACTGTCCTCTGATTATAGAGGTGACGCGTTTATATCTCACACAGGGGTAAGTTGACTCACGTCAGGACCTAAGGCACAGAAGGTCACTTCCAGAATGGTCAGAAACAAAATTCTGTCCCGAGCGTCACCAAATCTAACGTGAAATCATGAACCACGGGATGTCCATTTGCCAAACTGAGTACGTGTCGTGGTTCGTTGGAAAGGAATCAGAACTCCAATTTTAACATACACAGGCGTGACTGAATCGATGGGATTTTTTGATACCGGCATCAGAGTAATGAAATTGATGCCCTGTCTCGCGAGAAGGCAGTTCTTCACACGGCGTGCTGCCGTCTTCTTCGTGGCCACAGCTTGGAGGAGTGGCATTCGGTCCTCTTGGGAATCTTTGTTCTAACCCTTCTCTGTCCATTCGTCCGACATGTGCCACAAGGTTAGGGTAACTTTAAATTGAAAGCTTAGCAATTGCATGAACACACACAAAAAACACATTTTGATTGAGACCTTTTGATCCTCTTATGTTGTGAAATTGTGTTAGACACTGTTAAGTTGGATTCTCATTGGCTTTTTTGCCCGGACGGTGTCGCTAATCCTCTTTTCATTTTGCTAAACCCGTAGAGTCCAATAACAATAATAAAGTGCTGTTATCGTGCGAAGTACAAGTCAACAAAGTGCAAAACAGAAAGGTTCCATTCTTTATTTCATTCCTCGCACCTAAGCCTTCCCTGTTGTGCTTCACTCGGTAGCTCATGCAGTTCCACAGATAATTGCTTTGACAAGATCCAGTATTAAGTAATCAAAGAATAATACGTACATTTGGTTTCCCACACCGACATATGGTGTGTAAGAAGTTCAACATGCGTACGTACATATCCACGCCAATCTTATAGCACAGAGGCTATCGTGAAGGTGCTACGGTTAAACGTTGTAAGCTTTTACAGAACATTTCCGTCTGGAGGCTACTGCAGAACTGGTTAAGGATTAGTGGCAAAATCACAGACAATGGCAGTGTGCACCATGCAGGTGGCGTTGGGCGTCACAAAAAGTGTACAGGTAGGTTATTGGGTGGGTGAGTGAGTTGGTGGGTGCGTGGGTAAGCTGGCCTAGACACTTCAAAACTGTGGGGGTCTTACCTTGACGTCTCGTAGGACAATCAGGTCACCTTGTAATGCCGACCGGCATTGATGATGACTGGCATAGGCAGAAACTGGCACCACATCGTAAAATATCAGCCAGATAGGGGGGATGACATTTTGGTGTAAACACTTGTGGTTGAGAGTGCACGGCTTGCTCTGCTGTAGCGACAACCAGTGCGACTCATCACTAATAACTGTGATAATCTGCAGGTGACCGATTAGCAGCATAGCATTCAGTGTATTCGCCACTGAGCCAGCTTGCAAAATCATCTGTGGTTCTCAGAGCTTACCGCAAGGTCTAGAACATTTTGTCACCTGTCACGGTGGATACTGAACATATCGTGACATCGTTCACAAGAGTTAAAGCCATCGCATGCTGCATCATAGCTGAAAATGAGAAATTTGCCCACAGCTAAAATTACAAAACAATCAAGAGGAGGAAAGTGCACGGCCATTATCACGGGCATGGGCTCTTCCTTTCACACGTCTCTTGTTTTGCCGTTTAAATGCATTTCTCGCCATACACTTCATGCAATAAAAGACCTTTCAACACGTTTTCCAGTATTTACAATAAAGGCCATTGACAATCGTTAATGAAAAAACTAATTGCAAAACATCGGCCCTGCTTGTAGGGTTACATATGCTGTGAAATGGTAACATTCCACCAGCATACAGCCATGCCACGTGGCTTGTCCTCAGTGTAACATGGCGCAGCATATAGGATAATGGGGCTTTACCATTCCTTGCCTTAATTTCAGTGATCAAAATGTTTACTCTTGACTTAAAGCTTTTGTGACTGCAGGAATTCTTGCTCTTTGGGTCTTTCAGTACAGTCACGTAAATAGAAAAATAATCATGTCTTTTTTCACCTGAAGATAATTACTTGTATTGCGATCGAAACGTCGTGATTTTATTTTTAATGTTTACTGTTTAACCGCTTTAATTCCCTTCGTGCAACGTGATCGCAAATTGGGATTCACGGTCCCCGCAGGTGTCGTTAAGAGATCTATAATCGGATTACAGGTCAGCACGGGTCAGCACGGGTCAGCAGCGCCATTGGTCGGTGATAAGCACAGGAGGGTCTGCGTCAAATCCACGAGCCTCTATCCACTGCTCGCTGACTCTTCACGCAATGGTGTAGACATAATGTTAATCCTTTAATTCTGCCTTTACGACTGCACTACTTACTATAATAGGATCAGTGGGATGATCATAGCAGCTGTGATGAGTTCTCATTCACAAAAATGTTGGGAAGCAGCCACCGCTTGACAATTTGCATGGCAGCTAAGTCGTGAAAATAAAATGACTTAACTGGCCACGCATGCCTGATGGGCAACACCATGTATATATGTCGAACTTCTTTCGCACCGTACGTAGCCAACCGTGCTAATCGGAAGTGCGGGGGAAGGGCAACAGACTCAATACACACAAAAACAGTTTTAAAGAAATTAGTATTCAATCTAGATTATTTCAAAGTGCATAGTTGCAGTGGCTTCCTAATATCGGAAGGAAGAACATTTCAGATAGCCGCAGAAGAGCATCCGAAAGCGTGCGATGCAGGTTGGTTAATATCGGGTCGTGGGGCTTTGTGGTGGGCACGACCAGCATGGCAAGGGGAGGTCACCTCATCCAGCAGAGGACTGACAAGAGGGCTGTACATATACACGTGCCGGTTTCCCTCTCTTTATGCAGTTGATGCGTTCCAAAATAAAAGGCGCACAACGCAAAACCGCACGAGACAGCCGCCTTCCGAATAGCGCATACAGTACACACAGTACACACACACGCGATGTTGTCCCACGTCCGAACGCATAGCCGCATGTGGAGTGAATTAAAACCATGCATAACGATTTTTTTGGGTATAAATCGGTTAGCTGCATATACACGAAATCGCACAGACCGACCGCGCTTAATGCTCACGTGACTAAAATGCACACCAGGTCTCCCTTATAAAAACAGATATCGTGTCTTAGAGGATCTCTTAAAGGTAATGAATTGCATAGACCTGCAGCAGAAAATGTGTCCAACGGGATTCGTTAACGCGTCCTGCCGAATTAAATTTCTCAGGCAGCAGTAGCGGTGGGAATCAGTAACATAAATAGTAGATATTAACTAACCCGTAAATGATTAATTTGTCTCATAAGTGTAAAATGTATTCATTTCTGTTCTCTCGAGGGTCGTTTCTAAACAGCCTGCAGCAAGAATATTGTCATGATTTTATTCAAATGGTACTTTGTAGTTTTTTTTCTTGTTACTGGAGTTATTTTTATGATTTATTTTGTGCTTGGGAGTTGTTTGAAAACTCCCCCCCCCCCCCAAAAAAAAATGCCATACTAATAATGTTCATATTTTCTAATTATTGTTTTTTTTCCCCACAGGCGTTTTATTGATGGCCTAGTGGTGGGTTTTTTGTGTTCATTTTGGAACATTTTGGGACTCTTTTTTGTGCTTTTTTTCTTGAAATGATGCATTCAGAGTTTGTGCAAACCCACATTTGGTAAAACTTGTGGTGGAATCTTTCCTCTCTCTCTCTCTGTCCCCTATCCCTGCCCTCACAACCTCCTCACCTGCCTTGATAACCCCTCCTCCCTACAATACGACCCCTGTCATGCTCGTATTTCCACGCTGTCCCTAAAACCCCCTGACCAACACCTCCCTCCTCATGGCACCCTTCATCTCGACCATCACACGTGAGACGTGTCCCTCCTCACGCCTCCCACCCATCCCCCACCTGCCCCCCTGCTGCAACACACCCCTGCACCTCACCATTACACATCACATCCCTACACCTCACCAATACACCACCAAAACACCTCCCCCTACCTCACCCTTACAATAAACACATCATTACACCTCACCAATACACCGCACAACACACCCTTACACCCAGCCCCCACAACTCTCCCCTCTGTACACCTCGTCCGTAACACGTTACCCCTCGTGCAACTCACCCCCTACGATTCATCTCCACACCTCGTCAACTCGCACTACACCGCCGCATCCCTACACCTCATCCCCATGCCTCACCCCTCACACCTGGCATCTTTTCACACCTCCACCTTCGCACCTCACTCCCACGCCTCACGTCCCTCACAACCCCCCTCCCTCCCCCACCTTTCACACCCCTAACCCTTCACACCTCACCCCACATACCTCAACGCTGCCCCACGCGTACCACCCCACGCCTCACCCCCTGCCACCTGTTCAACCGTCACACCTCACCCCTGCCACCTGTCCAACCGTCACACCTCACCACCTGCCACCTGTTCAACCGTCACACCTCACCCCTGCCACCTGTCCAACCGTCACACCTCACCACCTGCCACCTGTTCAACCGTCACACCTCACCCCTGCCACCTGTCCAACCGTTACACCTCACCGCCTGCCACCTGTTCAACCGTCAATACCTCACCCCTGCCACCTGTCCAACCGTCACACCTCACCGCCGCCCCTGACGCCACGCCACTCGCCCCTCGCATCCCTCACCCCTCGCCACCCGCTGCCCCCCACTGCCCCTTGCCTGCTCGCCCCCCCCCCTCACCACCACCTCCACCGCCACGCTGTGGTCCAGTTAAGCTGACCGTGTGCCAGAGGCTGCGCCAGGTGTGGTGCCCGGCGGCCACCGAGGCCGACGCCCAGGTCTGGACCCAGGCCCCCGCGCCCCCGACCCCCAATCACTTCGTCCTGTGTAAGTGTCTGCACTGAGCTGGCCCGCAGCGGATCCGCTCGGGGGGAAAAACAACGACTGCCCCCCCCCCCCGAAGTCCGGCGTCTTCTGTGTGTGTGGATGCGCGTGCGTGTGTTGCACATTTGTGTACGTCTCCGTGTCGTCATTCCGGTCACCCACATTGTGTTGCAGTATTTCACAAAGCTGCCCGCGATTTGTCACCCTTGTCATCAGCCCTTGCTCTCCTGGTAACAAAAAAAACCCCAGAGACCCCCATTGCATGCCCCCTCTCGCCTGTCTTCTCTTATTCTTATTTTTTTCTAATTTTTTTGGTGTTCTTATTCATTCACTCATTGTCTTCTTCCTCACCTGGCCACAACAGTCGCATGCCAATGCACGAGTTGGTTCGCATCTGAACGCTAATTTTATTTTGCTAAAAATGCACGAACTGCAACCTTGCTGGGTTTTTTTTGCATCGCTTCACTTTCGAACTGTGGGGGGAAATCTTTTTTTGTCATCTTAAGCCGCAAATTTTTTTGGCTCATCGTTGTTTTTTGTTAATCAACATAACCCCCCCCCCCCCCATAAATACATTTTTTTACTGCTTTTCCCATTTGAATTTTATTCCTCTGTTTTTTGTTGCAATTTGTGATTGCATCTCATGAAACCCCGCAAGATTATTTTTTTTATCTCAAAGTTTCTGTTTTTTAAACGATATATTTTTGTCATCGAACATAAACAAATCCATTTTGACAGAAATCATTGTAATGCACACTTTTAACGTTTCTCAATTTGCAATGCAAACGCAATAACACCAAGTAAACATCGACGTAATATATGAATGCAATTATAATATTGAGTATGCATTTGATAATTATGAGCTACAAACATTAATTCAAAACGTGGCTGTTGACAAAAGCAGATTATGTCTTCGTTATCACGGATAGCCTTCTCCAAAGTCAAGATGTACGCATTTACGCACGAGCTCTACTGACAGGAATTGGGATATTTATATCTACATATACATTTAAAATGCTATGCATTTGTGCTGTACAATATTTGTATGCAATATTAAATTCAATTGAGTAATGTTTATATGAGGCAATGCAGCAGCGTTCCATTGTGTAGATCAACACAGCCTTGAATAGCCGTGCAGATTGTTGACATGACTGTCCTATAGAATTTAGCAAATCTAGCCTCGGATATGATTAATGTTCTATCTTTTTAAATTGAGGAATAATTGTGTTGTATCGAAACGTGGGATACAATAAAAAAGATAAATATGGTGGAATTATTTTTGTTAAAATTGAAAAATGACGTTCTATAGAGGAACAATAACCAACATTATCAAATCTAAAAGTGTAAAATTATCGTTAGAATGTGTAGTTACTTGGCGCAAATACAGAGTGCACACTAAACACCATCTAATGTAAGAAATCAATGGCTTAAAGTGGCATTCAACATTGAAACCCCAGCATCACAATTGCATCCCTTGAGACGTCACTGCCAAGTCTGTGAGCAGCAATGGCTTTTGTCCTGTTCAAGGTATGGATTCTGCGATATCAGGATACAGTACGATATTCACGTTTGCGATATGACAATTATCACGATCTCATTTTCCCATAGCTTTTTCATTGTGCGTCACGTATTGTATTGTTTTAGTGCTCTGATGTACTACATAGTACTAATTACCACATAGTACTAATTACCACATAGTATTAATTACTACATAGTATTAATTAATACTTTAAAGTTCTTCAACGGTGGTTTACTCAACTGCGGTTAAAGAAGCTCGCCACGTCGTCGAATCACTGCAACCATACAACTTGTCACGCTTATATCGACGAAGACGTCGTATAATCACCGATTTGCTTGGAAAACTTTTCACAGAGCACGAATTGAATCGTTGATTTCGTTTTAAATATATGTACACTTTTATTTTGGGAACTTGTTTATTTCATTGAATTTCTTTTCCCTGCGAAATAAATACTTAAAGTAACGACAGTGGTATTATACGAAATGGAGGATACAATTATCGCGGATTTTATATCGTACGATGATATCTCGTGGAATCGCGCCTAGTTATTCGTGATGTCCATACGAATCGCCTCATTCGGGACCCAAACATCGCACCTACTGGCTTTTTACATTCCTCCTCGAAGACACCGGTGGTGTTACCATCAAACGCATCACAACATCAACAGGCCGATGGACTATAAAGTAAAACCCTCTCAGTCTGCGTCTCCTTCAATGGTGGAGTAACATCAAAACGACACAAATCTCTCTCCCTCCTGGAACTCTTGTCGTGTGCTAGCGGCCCTCGACATTGGCATTTAGCTCCTGCATAATATTGCCACATTTATGTAGTAAAAGGACATTGAGTGCCTTTGATGCTGTCTGTGCTTCAACGGTGGTGATTGTGATGGGCTTGCCCGGCAGCCAATGAGGAGGTGTGCTCATCGCGCAAGCAGCGGAGGGGCAGCGACGAATGGGCGGACCACAGCATGCAGCTGCAACCGTGAGTGGCACGCGTGGCCCTGCACGTACAACACGCACGCAACACACAGGCTCTGTGTTACGTGTGCATGTTCTAATTATTTTGCACCGTACGCCATGCTAATCGGAGGTGTGGGGGGAAGGACAACAAACTAAACGCAAATGTTTTTTTATAAGAATTTTTTTATCAGGTCACACTGGTAATGTGAACAAAATAGAATCCTTCTCGCTGCTGCGTTGGTTTTTGCACGCGTGCTGTGCAGGCGTATCCTGCGGCTGCGGTCTTTGAGCGTTGTTGGTGCCTTTTTTAGTTTGGCACTTTGTCCAACGTTTCGCTCCAGCGCGTGGAGCGAAACAAAAAGATGAGATCTTTACAAGACTCCAATTAGCACGGTTGGCTACGTACGGCGTGACAGAAATTCAACATACGTACATGATTAGAAATAAATTACAACGCAGTCCCATACCTGTCAACCCATGCGGTTTACCCGTATTCTTCTACAGGGAAATTGAATAAAAAACGTTTTGTCAATTTGTTTGTGTTTCTCCTTGTGATGGGACTCCGTAGAATGAACGTTGAGATTTATAAGGGCACGGGGTGACCAATGAGGTCTGAATTGGTCTGTAGTAAGGTAGAGCACTCATAAGGGGTTGACAGGTTTGCAGTCCCCACCACCTGTGTGTAATATGGCCTGGACCAAGGGAGCTATTGTGAGCTGCAACTGAACCTGAGTTCACCAGTGGGCGCGCGGTCGTCCTGCTGTTACTGTTGCTGGTGGAGGTGATGGTGGTGTGTGCTGCAGTGCCTCTCAACCGGTTTCACCCCCACGGCACACAAGTTCGATCATGCTCAATCTGCACGGCGCACACAGAGCCAAAGAGTCACCGTTGGTCCGTCTGGGTGGGTGGAAATGCGTTGTAACTGAGGGAGAATTCCCTATCTGATGTTGTCAAGAACAAGTAAATTAAGTTGCACTGATCAAATCCGTGACCAGAATATGCGCATCTGCATGAGTGTGTTCTTGGCTGGTCTCTGGGTATCTCTGCGTCCGTGTTTGTGTATTCGTGTCTGTGTGTCACTCGGGAGACAAAGGCGGTCGGGCGTGGTGCTGGTCACCCACCCCCTCGTGCGCCGTGCCGGCCTTTAATAGGTGCTCGCTAACAAAACAGTCTGTTATGGCTATACGGTGGATCTTTGTCTTTGTGTGTCTCCGTGCCTGTGTGTCTCTGTCTCTTTGTGTCTCTGTCTCCGTGTCTACGTGTCTGTGTATGTCTCCGCGTCTCTGTGTGTGTCTCTGCTTCCATGTCTGTGTGTCTCTGCATGAGTCTTTGTGTCTGTCTGTAACACGTTCATACAGAGGTGTGAATGTGTTAACAGTACACTTGTGTTTGCTAACATGACTTCCCAAAAATGTAAGAGTTCCTTGTTTCTTGGCAAGTGTGCGTACTTGTGCTGTCTCTGACTTAGAGGTCACCAGCCACCACTGTTACTCACACATTATCTCACTGGGCATGGGTCCCAGAAAATTATCTGGCTACTCAGGTGAGTCGTGAGTTGAAGTGGAATTTCTTTACCACCGACTTCAAGCAATGAATGGAAATTAGCATGGGCCAACCCCTTTAGCTTGAGCGTGGAGGCCCTTTGGATTTTGACGTGACCCTGCCTGAACCTTTGGCCTTATTGCGAACCTCCGGCAGGCACAGCTCAATGGAGGCGGGACGCATGGACGCAGCGGATCACTTTGGCACCAACGTGATGCGCTTCGACTCCACGGGCATGTTCCACTGGTGCCCGTCACGGGACATCGAGCAGGTGCTGCTGGTGAGGAACCCAGGGCCTTGACTGTCACAACGTGACCACTATCGCAACCACCGTCAACACAACCGCTATAACCGCCATCACAACCGCCGTCAATACAACTGCTATCACCATAACCGCCATCGTGTTCCATGTTGTGACGGTGTGCGTTGTCACTACAGCCGTAGCGCACGTTCTTGTCGTCGTGTCGGTTGGCGGGTAGACACGTGCCGAGGCGGCCATGACGGCACTCAGCGGGCACGTGGTGGTGTGCATCTTCGGCGGCGCCACCTCAGCCCTGGCCGGGCTGCGGAACTTCGTGATGCCGCTGCGCGCCAGCAACTTCCGTCGGCGTGAGCTCAAGCATATCGTGCTGCTCGGCTCGCTCGAGTACCTGCGGCGCGAGTGGGAGTCCCTCAATCACTTCCCCAAGATCTCCATCCTTCCCGTGAGACAGCGTGCATTCCCGTGACGAAATTAGCAAAAGTAGCAGTTTTTTTTTTATTCAGTCGACGATGACTACGGTGGCAGTGGCTCAGACTGCCTAACTGTTACTGACTGATCCAACAACATTAACGAGTCTGACTGAAGATGCAGACTGAGATAATTCAGGAAAGTTATGAGAGAGTGCAGTCCATTGAGGAAGACCAAACATGTTACTTGATTCTATCATACGATGAAAAAAAAGTTTTGCTGGCTGACTGGCTGGCATGCGGGCAGGCAGGTGTGCGGTGAGCCGAGGTTCGTGGGTCGTGCTGACGTCACGCCCCCCCCCCCCCCCCCCAACAATGGACTAATGTAAGAATGATTGAACTAAACCCACAGACTGAGACGTGTTGTCATCGACGAGACTGAGACTATCAGGTAAAACATTCTCTCTGCATTAACAACGTCTGAAAGAGACGCTAAAAGCTCTGTGGGCTGAACCTGGTAAGGGAAAGAAAGAACCAAAGAGTAATTCCTGCAGTCACGAAAGCTTCAAATCAAGTTTGAACCACCTCTACGGGGAGGATTTCCATACAACTCAGACTTAACTTCAAATTTAGCAATCTTTGGAAGAACGTAATCAACCAGGTAATGTGTTAACTGTTGTGTTAGCCGACTTTCTGTGTTGCATTGCATTGTGTTTCTAAGTTTACTAGGTTTGTTTTTTCAAACTTCCAATTTATCTCTCCCTGCCGTTTACTTTCTCTGCCCCCCCCCTCTATATAATGCCTCGCCACAGAGGCGTTGTTCTGTGTGTCTCTGTGTTTGTCTCTCTCTCTGTGTGTCTCTCTCTGTGCGTCTCTCTCTCTGTGTTTGTCTCTCTCTCTGTGTGTGTGCGTCTCTTTCCGTGTCTGTGTTTTGTCTCTCTCGCTGTATGTGTGTCTCTCTCTGTGTGTATGTGTCTCTCTCTGTGTATCTCTCTGTGTGTGTCTCTCTCTGTGTGTGTCTGTGTGTGTGTGTCTCTCTCTCTGTGTCTGTGTTTTGTCTCTCTCTCTGCATATGTGTCTCTCTCCGAGCTTGCATTCTTTCACACCTGATGACGGTTGCTTGTGTTGCAATCGAAGCGTCGTGTATTCCATTATTTATTACGTTATATTTTCGTTCTACGTGACTTTACCGAAAGAACCAAGGAATAAAAAAAATAGTTTAGTCTTATTTGTATATATTTTTTAAGTGATTTGTTAACCTTTTGTATACTTTACACTCCCATCCTGTTATTTTATTGTTTGTTGTTGTAACGTTCTGATCCCGTGCCCCTACTGGGGCACTGTGAAAAAGAGCTTCCTCCGGTAACAAATGAAGATGCCGATTGTGACGAGCTGCCCGCTGCCCGCTGTGCGCAGGGCTCGCCACTGAGCCGGGCCGACCTGCGCGCCGTCAGCGTGAACCTGTGCGACATGTGCGTCATCCTGTCGGCCGGGGAGGGCTGCTCGGACGACGCGTCGCTGCAGGACAAAGAGTGCATCCTCGCGTCCCTCAACATCAAGAGCATGCTCTTCCACGACGCCATAGGGCCCCTGCGCGCAAACTCCCGTGGTCAGTCGCTCGCTCGCTCGCTCCCTCCCTCCTTCCCTCCCTCTCTCCCTCACCTCTGTCTGCCAGCAGTGGCCATGATTTGCAGGGCCGTGCGAACCCGGCGACCCGAGTTCCATTCCCGCTCAGGGCCAACACCGGTGACGATTATCTGAACCGGTCCTGGGCCTCCCCTATGTCGACTCAACCTCAATTGTTTACACATCGCACCAGGTGCTGGTCTGGGGAGATAGTATGCGGCCAGGCGTGGTGCTGGCCGCCCACCCCCTCGTTGGCTACGTACGTTGCGAAAGAAGTTCAACGTACGTGCGTACGCGCCTTTACCATCGATTCATCCGAGCGTGTTCCTACACGGTGACGCGCGGAAGTTGGGGGACTTCGGCACCAGCCCAGGCTCCTGTGCGCCCGGGCTGCTGACGGTGCGGCGGTGCGATGCGGCGCGTCCCTTCCAGGATTCATGCCGCCCGGCCTGGAGACCGACCCCCGGGATGAGGAGGAGGGGGCTGCCAGGGACCCGGACGAAGGGCCGGCCAACCAGGGTGGCCCCCGGCTCGGCAGGCCCCGGCTCGACTCGCACATCACGAGCGGCGCGCACGTGCCCATGGTGACGGAGCTGGGTACGCAGCCGCCTCGCCCATGCCGGCACCACCAGTACCACCGTCACCTCCACCACCAGTACCACCACCACCAGTACCACCGTCGCCTTCACTACCAGTACCACCACCAGTACCACCACCACCAGTGCCACCACCACCAGTACCACCACCAGTACCACCACCACCAGTGCCACCACCAGTACCACCACCACCAGTGCCACCCTCGCCTCCACCACCAGTACCACCACCAGTGTCACTATTGGTGTACGTGTGAGATGTGTGTGGCGTGTGTGTGTGGTCATGTATGTGTGCTCAAATGGGTACCTGGTGCGGCGTGCAAACGTCAGCACTGGGGAGACAAAGGCGGCCAGGCGTAGTTTCTGGTCATCCACCCCCTCGTGTGACGTGCAAGCCTTCATCGGAGCTGCTCAGTAACAGCACTTGACCCAACAGTCTGTCAAGGCTATACGGGGGATCTTTTTCTCTGTTTTTCTGTACTCAATCCACCAAAGTGAACGACTCGAACGTGCAGTTCCTGGACCAGGACGACGATGACGACCCGGACACCGAGCTCTACCTCACCCAGCCGTTCGCGTGCGGCACCGCCTTCACCGTCAGCGTGCTCGACTCGCTCATGAGCGCGGTGAGTGCCACACACCTCTATATACACAAAGACAAATATCCCCCGTATAGCCTTAACAGAATGTAGGGGATAGTGCTGTTAGCAAGCACCTAAGAAGGCCGGCACGGCACACGAGGGGGTGGGTGGCCAACACCACGCCCGGCCGCCTTTGTCTCCCTAGTGGCGATGTTTACACATCGCACCAGGTACTCATTTGAGGCTGAGTCGACCTAGGGGAGGCCCAGGACCGGTTCAGATAATCGTCACTGATGTTGGCCGTGAGCGGGAATCGAACCCGGGTCGCCAGGTTTGTAGCTCAGCGCGCTAACCTCTACACTTCCGCTCCCCACTCTATAGACACAACAACAACAACAACCGCCATTCGCCACGAAGTGGCGGTGACGTCACCATGACGCTTGTGCCAGGCTATGTGCACCTTGAGGCTGCGTGAAGTGTCGAACGCCCGCTGGCAGGAGGTCACGGGGCAGACCTAGGTGCCACGGGTCGACTGACTGAGATGACTGAGATGACTGGATGATGCACCACCTGTGTCCCCTACTGGGCCAACTTGCTGTGCTTTAGCCACCTGGCACTCTGCTCGTTGTTGTGAGCGTCGCTCCTCCGCCCTCCATTTTTGTTGGAGGGCGACTGCCTCCAACTGCCCAGTAGCGTCCTTAACGAGCCTCCTCCAAAGAGGCCGATCTTGACATCGCTGGTACCAGTCATCGGCAAGTCCACTCAACTCCACATCCTCCTGTACCACATCACTCCATCTCTTCTCTAGCCCGTGCCGCGCCCGTTTAGCCCCCTCGATCTGGTCGAACAAAAGCTGTTTAGGCATGCGGTGGCTGGGCATGCGGGCTACATGACCCAGCCAATGCAGCCTTGCCTGCCGGAGCAGCTCACCAATGGGACTTTGTCCAGATCTTTCAAGGATTTGTTAGCTCCTCACACAATCCAGCCTGGTTAATCCCAGGATGGATCGTAGGCAGGCCAGCCTAAATGTTTCTAACCGGCGAAGATGTTCCATTAGGGGGATCCACGTTTCGCAAGCATAGAGAAGGGAGGAAATGACTGTGGCCGAGAAGACCTGAGGCTTTTTGCGGAGCGACAGACCAGGTAGCTTCCACACACCGTTACGCAACCGATGAAAGATAATGCCGCTCGACTGATTCGGAGTGAGACCTCTGCTGTTAAACTGGAGCCGGTCATGAGCACACTGCCCAGATATGGGAAACTTTCCACTCTTTCCACAACTGCCCTATCACCAATTGGGAGTTGTGGGGGTGGAGTGTCCGATGGAACTAAATACCTAGGCAGGTGCTTAGTTTTGGTGGGGCTGATGGTAAGGCCCCACTTCTTAGTAACAAGCTCCAGGTTCAGCAGCAGCACCTCCAACTTCTCATCTCAGTGAGCAGCAATTACCAGATCATCAGCATACATAACATGGTTGAGCAATAGGGAGCAATACATACACACACACACCTCTATACACACTCCTATACGCACACACACCCTATACACACAAAAGACAAATACAAAGATCCCCCGTATAGCCTTAACAGACTGCTGGGGCAAGTGCCATTAGCGAGCACCTATGAAGGCCGGTACGGCACACGAGGGGGTGGATGGCCAGCACCACGCCCGACTGTCTTTGTATCCCCAGTAGCGATGTTTTTACACACCGCACCAGGTACTCATTTGAGGCTGAGTTGGCCTAGGGGAGACCCATGACTGGCCCAGATAATCGTCACTAGTGTTGGGCGTGAGCAGGAATTGAACCCAGGTCGCCGGGTTCGCAGCGCAGCGCGCTACCCGCTACACTACCACTCCCCACTCCCCATATACACACATACACTATCACCGCCTTCACCGTTAGAGTGCTGGACTTGCTCATCAGTACAGTGTGTGTCACTCACCACCGATGTAAGCCATGACCGGAAATTAAAATCAAGTCACCCAGTTCATGGGTGAGTGCGTTATCTACTGCGCCGCCACTCCCCAAGCACACACATACACGTGTGCACACATACATACACGTGCACACAGTCACACACACAATTACCTAATCAGTAATTGACCGGTCAGGTTCAGCTCTAAGAGCGTTAATTGAACTTTCGTGGGCCAGCTATTTATTAATGAGCACATTAATTTTCCTAGTTAAAAGCACGCAATAGCTCACAGAGATAAAACATCTCCTTTGTTATGCTAACGACAGTAATTACCACGATGGTATCGATTAGTTTGTTACGATTTCTTTGTGCGTTTACTTGTTATGCCAAGGATGGCAGTTGGAAACGCCTCCTAGCAGGGTCACTTCAGGCTCGTGGCTCACAGATACAAGGGAGTCGAACGTCCCTCTGCCTCAACGATTTCCACCGTATTTGCAGCACTGTCCCACTACCATTACACGGCGCCAATGAGGAGAGATGTTAACTACCTCACCTACTAGCAGGAGGTCGTGGGTTCGATACCGACCCTGATGTTTATATATTTGGAGTTTGCGTGTCTCTCCCTGTAATCGCGCAGGATTTTTCTCTGGATCCTCCGGGTTTTCCCTCCACATTTAGAATCAACGTGCGGTTAGAGTATTTGGCTGCTATACATTTTCCGTGTGATGATAATCCACGTCGTTGAGCTATAATTTGTGATAGCCAGGTTCGCTTCTTAAAAAGAGCTACATAGCTCAGTGGGCCTTACCTGGTAAAATTAACAATTGTTTATAGTTTTTAGTAATCATCGCCACCGGGGGTCACGATCAATCCACTGCTGGACGAGGTCCTCCCCAAGCTGCATTCCGCTCTCGGGGTCTTGCAATGTAACCATCTACCGAGCACCATCTACACACCAGCTGATTTCATCGCTCCATCTCTGCGGTGGCAGTAGTCTCTGGCGCGTTCCTTCCCTTGGCGGCCACTCTCTGTAATTGGTCTCAAACGCACCATCCTTGCTGGTTACGTGTCCTGCCAATCCCTCTAATGCTTCTTAACAGTCAACATAATGTCATTTATATCTCTCGATGTAATTCCAAGTATGCATAGCTCCACATTTCTTTGTTTAAATTTGAGTTTTATTCCCAGTTTATTTTTTAAAATAATAATTCAAATGTACAATGCGAATTCAATCCTAGGATCCCAATGCGCAATGCATGAAAAGCAGGAAACAAAAACAGAGCCAGGGCAACCGGCCAAACTAAAGAGTGAAGGCCACTTTAAACAGATGGATTTTAAAAGCAGACATATATCTACCGTCTCTGATTGCCCTGATTTAAAGTGGCGAGGCGTTCCATAGCTTGAGTGCCACGCTAACAAAAGCCCGTTCACCAAACAAACACAACCTAGACCGGGGAGTGCTGAGCAGTTGTAGATCAGAAGATCTTAAGGACCTTGATGGAATATATAAATGTATTAGTTCCTGCAAGTAATCTGGGGCGAGTCCTTTTAAAGAGTTATACAAGTTGAAACAATAAAAAATTCGAATACGGAACGCATCAATAACTGTGTCTTGTGATTGCTATGGCTACTGCTTCATGTCATTCGTGATGCTCATAAGGGGGAGCAGAAGCGTAGTGGTTACCGCACTTGCAAGGGCTAAATCAGTGGCGAGCTAGACCAGTCCTGGGCCATCCTTTTGCTGACCCGCACTGACCAGCGTGATGCATTACGGTCAAACAACCCCGATGGTTGACACAGCGTAATTGAGGCCTTCATACAGCAGTGGTCAGGGCTGTAAAATGATGATCGCTATTACCGTTGGTATTGGGTCGGCTGCATTTTTCTACTTGGAAACTTTCAGTTTCCAAGCTCGAGAAGACCCCTGCGCAGTGCTCTTCACCGTGTGTTCTCAATTCGTGATGAAAATTCCATTTCCAAATATCCTTACCAAGGCTCTTCACAGGGACATTAGGTGACATGTATTGAAAACTGGATTGGAGATCCAAGGTATGAACGTACATTGATAAAGATAATAGCCAACGTATATTTTCAAATAATTGGCGGTGTTATTTGTTTACCCAGTCTCAAGACTCTCATGTGTGATTATTGTAAGGAGCAGTTTGCACGTGAGAGGTAATGGGAAGGCCTGGAGAAAATCCAGCATGTAACAGAATACGATGACGCTCCAAGGGACGTTGGCGGACGGTCGAGAATAACGAGAGTGTGGCGGGCAAGGGGTTGAGCGCATCCAAGAGGACGTCGACGATGAGATGGAGCGATGAAATCGGCTTGCGTGTGGAAGCATGACCACGGCCGATGATGATGATGACGACGATGGCGACGTCTATCGCTCACCACCGCCGCCTCCCCGGTACCTCGCAGACATACTTCAACGACCACACGCTCACGCTGATCCGCACGCTGGTGACGGGCGGCGCCACGCCGGAGCTGGAGGCGCTGCTGGCGGAGGAGGGCTCCCTGCGCGGCGCCTACAGCACGCCCCGCACGCTCGCCTGCTCGCGACACCTGCCACGTGGCGCACCTGCCGCTCAACCAGGGACCCTTCGCAGACCTCGGGGTGGGAAGGGTGGGGGGGGAGGGCGAGCACGCGCACACTCACCGGCTGACTCACTCACCCATACACTCACCGGCTGACTCACCCACCCATACAGTCACCAGCTCACTCACTCACCCATACACTCACCCATACGCTCACTGGCTCACTCACTCACCCATACACTCACCGGCTTACTCACCCACCCATACACTCACCGGCGCACTCACTTCCCAATGCACTCGCCGGCTTACTCTCTCACCCATACACTCATCGGCTTACTCACCCACCCATACACTCACCGGCTCACTCACTCACGGGCTAAACTCTCTCACCCATAGACTCACTGGCTCACTTACTCAACTATATACTCACCAGGTCACTCACCCGCTCATTCATTCACCTGTGCATTCAATCATGCACATATTGGCTCACTCTCTCACCTGTGCATTTAACCATAAACTGACAAGCTCACTCGCCCACGTGTGCACTCAATCATCCAATCGCTGGCTCACTCACTCAAAAACTCACCTGTGCATTTCACCATATACACACTGGCTCACTTACTCGCTCACCTGCGCACTCAGCCATACGCTCAATGGCTCGCTCACTCATGCACACACATACCTGTGCACTCAGTTATTACACATACACAAATGCACTCACTTATTTATCTCCTTACCTAACTATTTACCCACCTGCGTCCTCAGCTGTGCGCTCGCCTGCATTCCCAGCTGTTTTCTGTGCCTGCACACATGGCTCATCCTCTCAGCGACGCATTCACCTGAACGCTTACCTGCAAGCCGCCCCGTGTGTTCATACGCAGATACCCCCCCCCCATGTCCCCCCCCCCGACCGCCTGTTGTTGTTGCAGGAGGGCGGCAGCTACGGGGAGCTGTTTTGCCGCGCGCTGCGCACGCACGGCATGCTGTGCTTCGGGGTGTACCGCTACCGCGACGCGCTGCTGCAGAACACGGCGGCGCTCCTGTCACAGAAACGGTACCGCGACGCCCAACCCACCCTCACTAGCGCCTCCGTGCCCCCCCCTCGCTGCCTATTGTTGTCTGTGAGTCAGAGGTCGCAAACGGGTTTTGATTCCTTACCCGTACCCGGCTGCACCAGGGTCGCAAACGGGTACCCGTACCCGGCCATACCCGTACCCTACCCGTACCTGGCCGGGTACGGGTAGGGTACGGGTATCGGGTACCTGATTGCGACCTCTGGGATGAAGCCATGTTGCAGGCGCGGGGGGGTTGATTCTAGGAACTTGAATTGTGAGAACTCACCAGTGACTCATGGTCTACCCGTACCCGGCCGGGTACGGGTAGCCGGGTATCGGGTAGGGTACGGGTATCGGGTACCCGGTTGCGACCTCTGCTGTGAGTCTGGGTGCCCCCCCCCCCCTCGCTGTCTATTGTTGTCTGTGAGTCTGGGTGCCCCCCCCCCTCGCTGTCTATTGTTGTCTGTGAGTCTGGGTGCCCCCCCCCTCCCTGTCTATTGTTGTCTGTGAGTCTGGGTGCCCCCCCCCCCACGCTCTCTATTGTTGTCTGTGAGTATGGGTGCCCTAGCCCAATATTATTTTAGGCTAATTAGGCCTAGGCCAGGTTCATAGGTAAATTACCACTGGAATATCACACGGCATTGAATGAAGCCTGGCAATCCACGATCATAGCACATTCAGACAAGAATGAATGAAGGCAAAGATAGCCCGTATAGCCTTAACAGACTGTTGGGGAAAGTGCTGTTAGTGAGCACCTATGAAGGCCGGAATGGTACACGATTAGGGTGGGTGGGCAGTACTATGGCAGCACCACGCCCGGCCGCCTTTATCTCCCTTTTGGCGATGTTATTCTTCACCATGTACTCATTTGAGGCTGAGTCGATCTAGGGGAGGCCCAGGACTGGTTCAGATAATATAATCGTCACTGGTGTTGACCGTGAGCGGGAAACAAACTCGGGTCGCCGGGTTCGTAGCTCAGCGCATGAACTGTTAAACTATCGCCCCTCTATACACAAGCATACACACACAAAGACAAATAGTCCCCATAATGACTTAACAGATGCTTGGGACAAGTGCTGTTAGCGAGCACATTATGAAGGCCAACATAGTATACGTGGGGGTGGTGTAGCCAACACCATGCCCGGCCGCCTTTGTCTTCCCAGTGCTAACGTGCTGATGTTTATACACCGTACCGGGTTCTCATTTAAGGCTACCCAGGGGAGGCCCAGGACCGGTTCAGATCTTCATGTTGGTTGTGAGTGGGAATCGAACTTCGGTTGCTGGGTTCATAGCGCAGCGCGTTCACCACTACGCTACCACTCCTTGTGTACATAAGCACACACACACAAACACACGCACTAACACACAGAACACGTACACTGCACCAGTCTGATTATTTTTTTGCATTTGCTACTACATGCTCCGGCTGGCTTGGGGCCAAACTCATCTAAATGCTAATTACCATCGTACATTTCGTGAGGTTTTATTTTGGCTTCACTTAAAAAATGGTTTTGGAAGCTGCGGGCTCCGCAGTGTATAAATGTCACATCGTGTCACATTTTAATTGTGAACTCGAATCGTAACACTGCACTTTGTTTACACAACTGTTTTTTTTCGTCTTAATTCATGCCTGTGAATCTATGTCATTCCTTTTCGTGGCCCATTCACGAGCTTGTGTTTGTTGTTTACACTGTAAATCTAACAACCAACAAAGATGTTTTAATGGGAGACATCTTCAAAAGCAAGGAGGTTCAATCATTATTCTCAGCCTCATCACATTTGAGCGACAGGGCCTTTCTATAAACAAAAGGATGTTATTGGCATTTCCCTTTTCATGCAGCCGTCGATTACGGTCGCTTGCCTCTGTAGAATAGCAAGGTCAAGTCGTGGGAAGTTTCTTTCAGAGCAATTCCATCTGGTGCTCTTGCGGGGGCCGTCGGCATCACAATGCTTTTTAGGTGCATGATATTATTGGCGTAGTGTGCATTCACAACAACACCTAACACATAACTGTTATATAATAGCCAGGTAAACCTCACTTCTATCAGCGTCAAGTGTCGTTTTTAGGAGCATTTTGAAGTTGAAAGGTGGACTCAAATTTCGATTTAAAGCTTTCGTGACTGCAGGAATTCATATTTTTGGTTCTTTCGGTAAAGTCACGTAAAAGGGAAATAATAAAATAATAAAAATAAAACTATGCAATTCGCAAAACGTTTCGATTGCAACACAAGCAATCATCATCATTGCTGTGGTTGTCAAACCTGATGATGATTTCTTGTGTCGCAATCGAAACGTCGTGCGAATTTAATTGTTTAATTTTATTATTTTATTATTTCCCTTCTTCGTGACTTTACCGAAAGAACCAAGAATATAAAGGTGGACTCGTTTGCTCTGAAGTGGCGCACGACTGTAGTTTTGAACCTATTTACTTGAGCTCAGCTTTACAGCCATCCTCAATTTGCTTCTTCGTATAATGCCTCGTGGTGAGCTTATGAAGGCTGCACCATCACTAGATTCTGAAGATTGAAATGTTGTTCCGCCGTATTATACGCATGCCTTTATTTCTCCAAACCCAATTTTGGGGGGGGGAGGGAACATATTTTTAATGTTCCTGTGAATAATGTCAGCGTGTCGCGTAGTTTTCTGACTCCCCCCAATAAGTATGAGTTTTGCTGCTTCACGTAATCTCAGTGCAGCTGTCCCAATTGATTTATTTTTTTACTTTGACAAGAGCCCGTACAAAGCACGAGCAATACAAAGGGAAGGGGGCACAGGAATTCCGTGGACAAAATCCCGAAGCGCGTTTGCTCACGGAGCTTAGGGGAAAAGGGAGAAAGATGGGCTCCATTACCCTACTAACGTCGGGACTACGGGCGGCAGCTTGGAATGTTTTAAGGGGAAGGGAAGGCGAGGGGTTGTACACAAACAAAAAAAATACGAAATGAAATAACCCATAAGTGTCAAGTGAACTCATGATTGATATGAATCCCGTAGGGCAGTGATTGCAGCTGTCCCCATTTTGTGTAAATGGATTTTTTTTTTTTGCGTCGGAATATTTTAGTTTTAGGCCTCGGTTGGTGAGAGCTTGGATAGCTGCATCAATTTTCACCGTGTGTATTGTCCCTCGTAAATATGAAGGCTATAGGCATAATGTGATTTTAAATTCATTTCAGAATCTTGAAGTAGGCCATGTGTGCGGTCAATGGTGGAGGTACCATTGCTGAACCATAAACTCAATGATTTTCGTGAACAATTCTTTCAGCGTGAGAAGAGGCTACTCGGTCTGTAATTTTTAAAATACGTATATAAATATGATAAATAATGCATTTAAAATTATAAAACATAACGAGCTGTCCATTTCCCACTATATTTTCCTTCTTTGCAAAATATCTCTCTTTGATCTCCTCCGCAAGAACCTCCGCATTCAAAGCTCCGTTGCTCAAACTGCTGCTGAAACATTCACGCCCTTGTAACCTCCAGACTTGGCTACCGTCAGTCACTTATGTACGGTCTTCCCCAGTCTCTCGCTCAGCGGATTTCAACACGTTCAACATGCTGCTGGCAGGGTGATTACTCGTGCCGTGCCTGTAAACGTAACCACACTCTCCCCCGCGTTATATTCCCTTCATTGGCTTCCCCTCCAATCTGGAGCCACTTATTGTTTTTCAAAGTTTCGCATGCACTCACCCCTGTCTATCTTTCCCCCCTCATTTTTGTACGGCACTTCTCCTCTTCCAACCTAAAGCTGCTCACTCACTGCACCTTAAATCAAACGCACGATTATCGCTGGGCGAGCATTCTCGTTTTCAGCTCCCTCGCTGTGGAATGCACTCCCACATCATGTTTGACATCGAATCCCATCCACTATTAAAATCCCGGTTAAAAAAATCTTCATGTATACCTCGGCCTTTAAATGACATAAGCTTGATTTGGGTAGTGCTTAATGGGTTTTGTTTAATTTGAAGCTTTTGGTGCACATTGCGACTGTTCCACTTGTGACGAGATGCATCTTATTGACACTTCAGAAAGATCGGTGAACTTGGGTAGGGGGCACGTTGCTGGGAAGGGATGATGATGATGCAGTGGCAGCCAAATGTGGACATCCACTGCAGATACTTCTATTTTATTTATGATTTCACGTGCGACAAAACCAAAGTGTGTGTAGAAATTCCATGCATACATATGGTGAACCATCAAACTCAATGCAGATGGAAACCTACTTTCTGTATGGAATCCTCGACAGGTAAGGTATCCATGTGGGTTCCATCCACTCACTAACCTTCGCAAGCGTCTGGATTTCAAACGTGTATTAATTCCACACCCGGCTCTTTGGTCAACATTCCAACTGATGCAACCAGCATAAGCCCAAAGTAAAGCACCGTGTATCACAATACCATGGAGTTGTATGTTTTAACAGAATACCTATTTATTTATGTTGAACTTCTTTCGCACCATACGTAGCCAACCGTGCTAATCGGAGGTGCGGGAAATCATATATAAAGGTAACTCTGAATATATCACCATATTTAAAGTCATTCGATTGGGCTAGGAATATAAAATTAGCAACTCATGAGAACCTGGTTATTTATTCAATGATTGTGCCTCTCATCGGCTGTATCAGTCACGTGACCGTGAACAACAAAGCAGAGGCAGGCAACGAGGCCCGACCCGAGGGACTCGCGCACCGGACGTCGCTCGCGCTGTGGTGCCTTGCAGGGTCGTTAGCACGGTGCTGTACCACATACAAGCACGCACCTTGAATGTCATCAGCATGCTGCTGTTGGATCGAGAGTGGGAGAGCCCGTTGATTGACGATTGTACTCGCAGTGTATCATTTAAACGCACGCGTGAGCGCCCTCTGGGTCACGCCCGGTTCCCTCCTGATGCACCGAGCGTTGCCCACATCTCATACAGTCATGCCTCGAGGGCGAGTATTTGTGTCTTAATGGAAAATACCAATAACGTCTGTTTAAAAGGGCCCCATTGTTCCTCAAGGATGAAAACAAATTGGAGCTCTCAAGTAACCCTCCCCCCCCTTGCACAAATTGAGAAGTGAATTGCAATGGGAATTCACACCTCCTTCACCAAAGCACACGCACAGGATGTATTTGCATTCAATAAATTAAGTGTGAATCTCGCTGGAGATACTTGGTGATGAAGATATGCAATAAGCTACCGAGTTCGCGCATGAATAATAAGCTAATAGATTCCTCAAGCGCTCTAACCTTTAACTCCGTCAATCATCACAGCGTGTCCAATCCAGTGTGAAATAAAGCATATGGATTTATATGCTTTATATGGTTCGTTGCGGTGTAGAAACTGGTTCTGTGTATTTCACAGAAAGAACATATCTCATGCAGTGCAAATTGAGGATCATACTAAGCCCTGGTTGATTCATTGATAGATTCAATACGATATACATACATATACAATAACATAAGAGATAGTATGCTCTGTCCTGCCGCTAATTACAGACGTGCCTGGCTTAACAAAAGCTGTCATGGAAAGCACAAACATTATTAAAATGAGATGATATTTTACCATCCGACAGAGGGGTTGCAACCCACTTCATGCCTCCCTTTCAACTGATTGTGACGCTGGTTTTAATTGAATTCTGTACGAGACAAAATTATATTATCGAGCAGCCTAAAGGCTGCAGACTACATCGATGAATTTGCGACAAGGGACATATATTCCCTGATGCCTGTCGATACCTCAGACTGCTTCCAGGCTGCGACTGATCAGTTTTATTGCAACTCGGCGAGTGGAGCAGCAGTGCTTGCAGTCGTGAGCTGTTAATTTCATGTATCAGTCATGGGCCAACTCATCTCTCCTCACCTTGATGGGCTCCATAAATTATCTCTGCAAGGGAAAGGCTGGAATACCACTCGGGGGACGTCAGCAGTGACCGTCTTATACAGAGACTGATGTTCGCCATCCATGCCTGTAACTTCCACTGCTGGCTTACGACGAACAAAGCGGGTGAGGAGCTCGCAACAATTTTTTTCGGCTGACTTTTTGTTTCAATGTAGTTCAGTGGTTTTGAAAATGAACATTTAAATATTCTTTCACAAATGTGCGCCGTCATGTAACCCGCATGAGGGCTCTTGCCTACTTTATTTTTCCCCCGACATGCCCTGCACACGTGTTTAGAGCTGAAGGTGCAGGCAAACACCCTCTCATTCAGACCTTAAGAATTGCATAAAAATTGCCATCCAACTGTCGAGAGGGCAGCAGCACGGACTGAGCAGTGCAATGCAAAATTACTTTACGTGGGCGATAAAAAGCTATTACAAGAAATAAATATCGCGACATCCAGTAATGATCAGATTTTGGTCTTCGTCCCAGATTTTGTGGTTGTGGATGACTGCCAACTACACGGCTGTCTGTCATTAGACTCCTCTTGTGCACCCCACTGAATTAATTTCAATCACATTTCCTCTTTTTAACTGACTTAAGAGAGTGTTGGAATGCAACACTCGTTGTGATAACTGTAGAAGGGACTGTTATCAGTAATGTTTAAACATTGGCCGTACTTTTTCTAAGAACTTTCACTTTAAACAACAAATCCCCCTGAAGAAATGGAGAAGCAGCTGCAGCAGTCGAACTGTCAGTGCCATAGGATAATTAAGCATATTGACATCCAGGCCTGTCAGCTTCCTCTTGTATATAGCTCTGCAAACTTTTAGAGTTACCTTAAAGCCACTGCCATTTGCCATATTGAGGTATACAATAGCGAAGTGTGCTAACCACTCTGCCACTACTGCACTCCTCTTAACAACTTTATTATTGCAGATTGCATGGTAATCACATCCCAGTTGCGTGTTCGCCTGTTAGACGTTCCCTGGCCGCCGTTTAACCCTAACCCCACGTGTTCTTCCCAGGTACGTGACCTCAAACCCTGGCTTAACCCTAACCCCACGTGGTCTCCCCAGGTACTTAACCTCAAACCCTGGCTTAACCCTAACCCCACGTGTCCTTCCCAGGTACGTGACCTCAACCCCTGGCTTAACCCTAACCCCACGTGTTTTTCCCAGGTACGTGACCTCAAACCCTAGCTTAACCCTAACCCCGCTTGTCCTCCCCAGGTACGTGACCTCAACCCCTGGCTTAACCCTAACCCCACGTGTCCTTCCCAGGTACGTGACCTCAACCCCTGGCTTAACCCTAACCCCGCTTGTCCTCCCCAGGTACGTGACCTCAACCCCTGGCTTAACCCTAACCCCACGTGTTCTTCCCAGGTACGTGACCTCAAACCCTGGCTTAACCCTAACCCCGCGTGGTCTCCCCAGGTACTTAACCTCAAACCCTGGCTTAACCCTAACCCCACATGTCCTTCCCAGGTACGTGACCTTAACCCCTGGCTTAACCCTAACCCCACGTGTTTTTCCCAGGTACGTGACCTCAAACCCTGGCTTAACCCTAACCCCGCGTGATCTCCCCAGGTACGTGACCTCAAACCCTGGCTTAACCCTAACCCCACGTGTTCTTCCCAGGTACGTGACCTCAACCCCTGGCTTAACCCTAACCCCGCGTGTTTTTCCCAGGTACGTGACCTCAAACCCTAGCTTAACCCTAACCCCGCTTGTCCTCCCCAGGTACGTGACCTCAACCCCTGGCTTAACCCTAACCCCACGTGTCCTTCCCAGGTACGTGACCTCAACCCCTGGCTTAACCCTAACCCCGCTTGTCCTCCCCAGGTACGTGACCTCAACCCCTGGCTTAACCCTAACCCCGCGTGTGTTTCCCAGGTGCGTGACCTCAACCCCTGGCTTAACCCTAACTTCACGTGTTCTTCCCAGGTGCGTGACCTCAACCCCTGGCTTAACCCTAACCCCACGTGTTCTTCCCAGGTGCGTGACCTCAACCCCTGGCTTAACCCTAACCCCACGTGTTCTTCCCAGGTGCGTGACCTCAACCCCTGGCTTAACCCTAACCCCACGTGTTCTTCCCAGGTGCGTGACCTCAACCCCTGGCTTAACCCTAACCCCACGTGTTCTTCCCAGGTGCGTGACCTCAACCCCTGGCTTAACCCTAACCCCGCGTGTCCTCCCCAGGTACGTGATCTCAAACCCGCCCTACGAGTTTGAGCTGCTACCCAGCGACCTGGTGTTCTGCCTCGTGCCGTTCGGAATCCGCGGAGGCCACTCCCCACTCTAACGGGTCAGTGCAGTGGCGACGACACTCGCCACGGGCATTCAATCGGACACCACTCATGTTGGACAGCTTGTTTTAGAAGTAATGTTACGATTTAAAGCTTTCGTGACTGCAGGCATTCATATTCTTGGTTGTTTCGGCAAAGTCACGGAGAAGGGAAATAATAATAAAATATATATGTAATAATAAAAATAAAACAATACAATTCTCACGACGTTTCGATTGCAACACAAGCAATCATCATCAGGTGTGAAAACCACAGCAAGAAAATTATTGCTGTGGTTTTCAAGAAAATTCTTGCTGTGGTTTTCACACCTGATGATGATGATTGCTTGTGTTGTAATTGAAACATCGCGAGAATTATATTGTTTTTATTAGTATTATGATTATTTTCCCTTCTACGTGACTTTACCGAAAGAACCAAGAATATAAGTCATGTTACGTCATACTTTTACCGGATTCATTTCATGTTTACTTCTAATTAACATGCATTGTTTAAGTAACCTTGTTAATAGCAATAGTACACTGTGATCGTATGTAGATGTCTTTAAATAGTTTTGTTTGTGTGCCTACAACCATTACTCAATTCCATTGCCCACGGGTGTGCTGATTTCGCCTTTCCAGACTAAAATACATGAGCAGTTTCAATTTAAGCAAAACTTTGTTTCTGTGGTTTCCACAGCACACGTATGTACATAATTGGCATCATTTTGCTTGCTTTTAAACATTTCGGTTTTCTGAAAAGCAATATTTTTGGTATATTGACCCACGTGACAACTTGATTTATATATCGGCTCTGTTGGATGGTGCGAGGGTTATAGTTTAGCTTTGGATATTATGCCAACGCGATCTAAGCCAAGAGAATGTGGCTATGAATTATAATATTGGTCGTGAAAGCCAACGTATAAAATTGTGTTCATACATGCACAGCATGACAATCTCGTAAACTGGTGCTAAAAGAGATTATTTGTCGACTCCCTGTGTAGCTTGCAAAGTATTATGGGGGATGCCCATTGCGCTTCGTGACATTCAGGATAACTTTACGATACAGCATATTGTTTTAGTCTCCATGTAGGTGGGATACTTACTATCAGTGAAGCAGATAAAATCAGTGAAGGCATTGAGAATATGTGGTAGTATTGCTGAAACACAGAAAGAAGGGAGTCACAGCATGATGGAAGACAGCTGCCACAGGACGAGAGGAAAACAGTCATGGCAACGCTGCATAAGGAGGGAGATAGAGAACGAAAATAGTTTTCTGAGAATTACAGAGAAGGCATTTAGCAGAACATTGCTAAATAAGATGAAGAATTAGACAAACACTCAAGGGGACACCAGTGTGAATTTATATCAGGAAGGGACTGCAGTGATGGATCTTTACAGTAGGACAGATGATAGAGGAGAGTTGGGAGCATGGGGAGGAGTTTTAAATTTCTATTGTAGACTGTAAGCAAACACATAGTAAGCTTTCGCGACCAATATGATCCATAATATAGGTTTTTTTTGGTGAGATCGCGTAAATATAAATCTGTCGTTCAAACCGCCACCACCCAACACAGCTAATTAGTAAGGTTTGTCACGTAAACAGAACATGCCAATTCACTACTAGTACAGCACACCGGTGTGTTGGAGAGCAAATCCACAATTTTTACAATCTGAGTCTGACGTTTCGCCAGTAATTACAACTAGCTTCATCAGGCAACAGCCAGATTTAGTGGAGAAATCCTCCTGTTTTGTTCCTGACAGAAATCCTCTCTCATCAAGATGCTCATACATCGGGCTATGAAAGTATCAGATGGTGATAGTCTGAGAAGTGAAATTAAACATGTTAAAGCAGCGCTGCAATTGAACGGTTACAATGATGCACAGATCAACAGGGTACTGAATGCCAAAATCAAATCTAATAACACAAGAGTTGAAACTGATCAAGTAATTACAACTATTAAAATACCATACATTGTGGGAGTAACTGATAAACTAGCCAGGTTTTTTGAAAACCAAAACATCCGAGTCAGATTTGGCACGGTGCATAAAATACAGAAACTAATATTTGGTACTAAAGATGTATTACCGAAGCTATCAACAGAAGGTGTATATCTGATTAATTGCACTTGTGACAATTAATCCGGTACACACCTTCTCAGACATCAGAATGGTTGATATTAGAACAGGTGTGTTTCAAGATTGTATGTTGTCTCTCCCACGTTGTTTCATATTATGCTTGACTACGTCTTCTCTTATACCACGAATGGGGTTAGCACAGTCGAAGCCACTGGAATCAATGTAGGTCAGATTAACACGTGCGACTTTGAAGTACGCAAATGATGCAGGTTTGTTGGCTAGGAAGTTGGCTCAAGTCATGCAGCTGCTGCTGCTGGTCTTAGGCACCGAGGCTGGACACTGGCATCTTACGATGATATTTCCGCAGACGAAGTGAATGGTCGTAAAATTTCGATTTAAAGCTTTCGTGACTGCAGGGATTCATCTTGGTTCTTTCGGTAAAGTCACGTAGAAGGGAAATAATAAAATAATAAAAATAAAACATTATGCTTTATTTTTATTTATAAAGAAACCGTAATATTATGTTTTATTTTTATTATTTTATTATTTCCCTTCTACGTGACTTTACCGAAAGAACCAAGAAGATTAATGGTCGTAGTTAGAAACCCGTCCAACGACCAAGGGAAAGACCCAAGAGCATATGGTGGGATACTGACAGGACAGATGTTTGAGTTTGCGTAGTGTCTGCTGTGCGGCAGCTATGGAATCTGGGCAGAGCTGTAGAATGCTTTGGCGAGGTGTAGTGGCATCTTCGGCTTTAGCCATGATGACATCTTCATTTAGCTCACTAGCTCTGCAGCACATTGACATTTCTAGCAGTGTCATAATGATGTTTTCAATATTGTAACATTTCCGTTCCTGTTCCTTTGTGTCACTGTGCTCCAGAAAAGAAGAGGTCGACCACAGAAGCAAGTGGGGATATCAGCGATGAGAAACATGAAAAAGACTTACACACACGAGACAGGCCTCTAAGATACTTTATTTGATACTTGATTAAGCTTGTGCCGTGACTGATGCACTTTGCAGCCTTATGTTAATTTATTGAGAATGTGAACTACCGTATTTAAATGTTTAATTTATCCGGTGTGTGCGTGCGCGTGCGTGCAATGCGGTTAAACAGCATTTGATCTTATAGAATGACAACTGTTAATTGTTCCCACAGCTTATGAGTGGGAATAATGGCAGATTGTGTGTAACGCTCCTCCAGCAACATTTGTTATATACCCACAGGAACACGACAATGTTCGTATACAAGTAGACACACATCTTCCTACAGCGAGTCAAGCCACGTTCAGTCGCAAGGGCCTCGAGTGACAACCGAAATGTATGAACGTCACATTTTGGTCACTGGTCGACTCGCACGATCTTCCCTCCTCGGTGGATAAAATAGGTACCAGTTTGTTTTCAAGCACTGTCGTAGTAGTGGTAGTAGCGGCACAGGTTTTGTGTGGGGAGAACGTTTCCCGCAGCAGCGATAATGAATTTCCACGGCTGGGCTCAGCGTGCTGCCAGCGGAGATGAGAGCTGCGTCGATCCTCGATTCTCCATTTGCCCAGCCAGAATTCACCAGCCCCTAGACCCTCGCCGCACCATCTCCATCCACCGCAGCGCAAACTCCACGTCTGAGATGTTGCTCGTGCCAGGGCAACGGACGCACAAGTGACACGATAACAACAAGGCGTATTTCCGAACGTAATCATGATTTTTTTTTTCGTAAAAAGCGTTCCAAGTGGCGTGTGTTGCCGGAAATTTGCTTTGCATGCAAGGTGATGGATGGACAGAGGGAAGTATTTGGGTTTTATATATATGCCATATATATTGTATACGATCAGGATTGGTAAAAAAACCCATATAGGTTGTGCATATCCCGATACCCAGACTGTGTATCAAGATATATATATATAGACTATGCCATTTGACTGCTGTGCAGTGGAAAGTGGTGGAGCTGATCACAAACAGCCGCGGTTGCATGCGATGACACCGATGTAACGTATTGCATATTACGACCGACGGAAAGGAAAACACGGGACGACACCGCTGACTCGGCGACGATCCACGCAGCGCGGATGCCGCTCCATTGCAGGACGCTCGTGGGGAAATGACCGGGACATTACGTTGGGTTCAGCGCCTCGCGAAACTAGTATTAACGCCCGCTCATGTCCCCTTACCCGGTGTGCATTACGCTGCGGGATTATTGCTCCCGCCTCTATTCACGGACATGGTCTACTCGTGGGAAGTGTGCCGAGATTAGTTCTTACCCCCCCCGCCCCCAGTGATTTAATGAGTTTAATTACATTTGATACATTATAATTGCGCGATAAAACAACAATGATCTTGTTATAATGGGTGTAAACATTTTTAATAATGTGTTATATATGTATGTTGAACTTCTTTTGCACCGTACGTAGCCAACCGTGCTAATCGGAGTTGCAGGGGAAGGACAAACTAAACGCAAAAATCAGTTCTAAGAAAAAAAATCTCGATTTAAAAGTGCATATAGCTCCAGTGGCTTCCTTATATCGGAAGGAAGAGCGTTCCAGACGGCCGCAGAAGCGCACCTGAAAGCGCGCGACTAACATCCTTCTTTTGGTGTGAATTATAATAAAAAAAAATAAAGGGGCAAATGAAACAGCTCCGCGAAATTCCAGCACGATCAGATATCTTTGGAGGGAGGCTGGCGAGACGGGCGCGAGTGAGCCGAGGGAGGGTTGCGAGGGCGTGACCCGGGGTGTTGGCGATTCGGAAGGGCCGTGTGAGACGGCGACATCGACGAACCTCGCCCCCCCCGCGTGGCTTTCGCGGCCAGAGGGGCGCGCGTCCAGAACCAAAAATAAGTCCTTTAAAAAACTTTTTTAAAAACACGCTTTTATGAAATGTACTAGTAATGGCAGAACTCCACGACTCCATGAAGTGGCCCCGAAGCTTGCCACAACGTAAGGGACCGTGCTGATTTACAGCCAACGTCAGTTGAGCGTGGACAATTAGACCCAAGCCGAAACATAACATATAAAAAATATTGATTAAAATATATATTTATGTTTAATGATAGAATATAGTATTGTCACCAGTATGCCATACGTATACCAAGTTTGCAGTCGATACGACATTGGGAAGTGGGTTAAATTTTAGTTAAAAGATTTGAGGATACGACAACAGACAGAGTGAGTTAAATAAAAGCGTGTAACAATAATAATAATAAAAACCTCCGCGGTTGGAAGTCGCACTCCAAGCTCGCGCCTCTGGGCCCAGCGATTGTAAATAGTTGCAGCGGATTAGCAGCAGGCGGGGCCGAGAAGCCAAAAAACTAGCCGAAATTCATCGTCGTTATTTCACAAGGCTGTCAACCCACACGGTGTAGCCGTGTTCTTGTACAGGGAAATTGAGATTCCAGGTCCATACGGCGTACAGGCGTTTCAATGCGGGCAACACATTTTTTTTGGTCTATTTGTGTTTCTTCCTTGTAATGGGACTTTGTAGGATGAACGTTGAGTTCTATAAGGGGCACGGGGTGACCAATACGGTCTGAATTGGTCCGTAATAAAGGTAGGCACTGATAATGGGTATGTGTTTATTGAATCAAAGGTGACTTTTTTCACAAATGATCCTTAATTCAAGCTCATTCGCAAAAAAACACAGCTACACCGTCAGTTTTCCGATGGCACCTCAGAAAATCTGTAGAGCAGTCTAGGGAGAGTTGCTTGGACAAAGTACATACAAATGCTCTGCTTATAGATATAAACAATACAGTACTTTAAAATTGTCATTAAGTCCCTGTGTGTCAAGTGGCTAAGCAGAACGTGTGATCCCACCTGGACCAGCGTCTGCTCTACAGATACCTGCTGGTGGGGAGTGGTAGTAGTGGTGGCCGCCTCAAATTGAGTACCTTGGGCCGGTGTGTAAACATCGCCACTGGGAAGACAAAGGCGGCCGGGGGTGGTGCTGGCCACCCACCCCCTCGTGTGCCGTGCCGGCCTTCATAGGTACTACTGGCTGACCGCACTTGCCCCAACAATCTGTTAAGGCTATACGGGGGATCTTTGTCTGTAGTGGTGCACATCTGTACTATTGAGGTGGGATTCGCGGGTGACGCCAATATCGTACAAAGTGAGTTCACATCTGCAGGGGCAATAGAGATGGATGTAGGAGGCAGGCCAACATGTAGGTTTATAATTCGCATGCAGTTTGAGCGTTCTTTCCCCTGAAGCGTGCATTTTCTGTGGCCCGCTCGGGTTTTATTCAACAAATTAAAGAGACTTCCAAAAAATACAAGTGGCCATACATCACAAGCAGGAGGACCCTCGTGAAAAAGTAATCTCGGCCTTTCCCAAATAAAGACGTGAGGGAGGGGGGGTGTCAGGTATTCATCAAAGTATTTGTTCTGGCGAAACGTGCACCCCACGTTGGCACGTACCAATCAACTTCTGCCTTCCTCAGACTTGCCAACGGATTATGGTAGAAGGCGCACGCACAAGACAACGTGGACTGTAAATGTTGTGGATTTGCTTTCCAACACACCGGGTGTGCTCTGCTAGTAACGAATTGGCACGTATTTACGTGACAAACCTTACTAATTGGCTGTGTCGGGTGGTCGCGGGTTTAACGATAGATTTACGCAATCTAACCCCAAAAAACATTATGGACAATGTGGATGTATAGATCGTAGATATAGGCAGCTTGGCAGTCGTCTCAACATTTGGAGTTGCCGTGATACACAAAAGCATTGTGGCATCACGATTTAGACACCAATTACTGCGCGGCGCTGTAGGCAAATTCTCAGGCCATTAAAAATGTCCCTGACCCTGACTGGCCAATTCCACGCTACCTGGTCACTGCAATTCTCTCGCTTCCAGGTTTTCGGTCAGCAGTGTCTGTAACCGCTACCCTTGAATCACACGAGCCGCTTCCTGACATTATTGCTTTCACGCATGCACGCGTCTTTTAAAACGGTATTCAAAACGCTATACATCTCGGCAGCCTCGGAACCTCTTTTTGGCAAGAAATCTGATCTCTTGTTTTTGTTTGTACGCTCGAAAATCCACTTGTTAGCAGCCTTGATTACAAATACTGCAGCGCCCCCGTGTGGACACGAGCGGCAGCACGTGGCGCTCCGCTCCGAGTCTCTTTATCCGGTATCAAAATGATGAAATCAGACGAATGGATTCCTGCAGTCACAAAAGCTTCAAATCAGACGAATGGGCTTTACCCCTTTTTTCTGGCAATAAGATAAGATATTCAAACAATAAGATATTCGAACACCAAATAGACGCACATTTGCAAGGCATCAATCAAGTCTGCGTTAACCGCAGGCCTGTGGTAAAGCGACAATCGGATCGAGGACTTCTCGCGGCGTTGTTGGCCATGAGGCAGGGGATGGCCACTCGCGGCTCTTTAAGGACAGCTGCTTCGTGACGTCTTTGATTAGGGAACCGCCGTCTCGTGTTCACCACGCACTGCATTGCGGCTCTGGAATTGTGTTATGTTGGTTGTCGACCCCTGATCACGGGGATTGTTTGACCATACTTCACCACGCCGGTCAGTGCAGGCTGGTGAAATCCGGTCCCTTTTGACGCCTCTACTCCACTGAAATGTTACGAATTGAACGCTTGGTGGCCGTTCTCTTTCGCGTATGTTTGTTGACAAGTGGACTATGATAACAAAAACTTTTGCTACTCACCTCGTATTACAGTATTGTGCGTTTTAAAGACTGTTATCTGGTCATGCGGCGTAGTGACCAAGTGTCCGAACTCCCCATAATTTAAAGGCCCAACCTTCAAATTTCAGTTGGAGGTCGACTTCGTCCACCATTCCTCTGGGATTCATAAAATCCATATAAACACTTTTGTGGACGGTCAATTATTGTTGGAAAGACTGGGCCCCGTCATGAAATCGTAGAAGTTCACACCAATGGCTGGGGACTGCTGAGCAGGAACTCAATGTTCGTGTGAGCACGAGGACACGTTGAGACAGCGTTTTAATTTAATACACCGTTCAATCCGTACGCAAGGTGGATAGGCGATTCCACGAACCCACTGAGAGCAGGACAAAAGCCAAAAGACCAAAGACTTGCGAATCGCAGTCCTTGTGCATAACAACATGGGTTTGTGTTGAACTGTGCACGCGTTTCTTGCTTACTAAGAGACGCGGTCCTCCACCAGGGGAGTGATGCGACCGGCTAATGATGATGACGATGATGATGTGTGTATCGCTCTTTAATTTTCGCTCTTGTGTCACGTGTTTATTTTTTTAACAAATGTTATTTCCGACGGATAGTAATTACGTGTAATAGTGTGGGCCTTTTAGGAGTCGTTCGACATTATAAATATTTTCATGAGTGCACAGGGTACATTTTATCCGTACCCCCCCCCCCCCCCAACTAACTAAGGATGTTAGAATGCCCTCGTAGAGAGGGGCCGTGTCTACACACGCACGTCCAGCAACCGTCGATATAGCAGCACATACTGCACGAACAGATTGCCGTAGAGCTGTATGGCTGCGTTTCGGACGAGCAGAATGCAGCAATAATTAATTGTTGTACTGTACTTCTATGCTCCCGTGCCTCATACTCCCCACCTTTAATCCACAATAACCAGTATGGTGAAGTATGGTCAAATAACGCCCACGACCCATCTAGCAAGCGGACTGACAGCGGGGTTGTACATGGCATCACACGTACCATGCCATGCATGTACAATATATGAGTTGCATGGGTTGAATAATAAAATGTGTTTATTTGACACCAATACAGAACAAGATCCGTTAGCATTTCAAAACCCCTTTTTGTCTGTTGTTGATCCGCAGTCGGCAACTAGGATGAGCTACGAGTAGGTCTACCACGTGGTGTTCGTGTCAGTTCGCTCATGATAAATGCCGATAATGTTGAACGCTATTCGTCCGGTTTGCTGGGACAATATCATCAGTGAAATGAATAATCGGTCGTGCGAATCCCAAAGGAAAAACGTCCCGGGTGGATTTTTAATTCGGGTTTCTATGAGGGTTTTCCATTGGCTCCGTGTTGTCTGCGATTTGTCTTAAGTGTTCGTCATTGTAAAGAGCATGTGGACAATACTGTATAGTACATTGAAATAAAGGATCAGCCTTGTGAAAGGAGTGCGGTATGCATGGGCAGCACATCGAGAAAACACTTCAGATATTACATTGCCAGGAACGATGACATTTGTTCCAAGGGTAAACTGGTCCCTACCATAGCAATGTGGACTTTCCACCACTGCCTCAGGGTAACCAAAATGATATGAGCATTTACATCATTAGACCTCCTTTGCCAGTACCAAAGTATAATAATAGGGTTTTTCCCTTTTTTCTGGCAACAAAACTGAAAGCGTTTTTTACTTTGGTACTGGCAAAGGAGGTCTAATAATGTAGATGCTTACCCCGAGTCCTCATTACTTTGATAGTGCATTGTCTTTGAGCTATACGCCTTTTGGCGTCCTCTGGTCGAGCACCAATTGGGTCGAGGATCAAAAGAAAGCGTCTGATGTGGACCAATCAGTTTCAAGGACAATGCATATATTATTAGAGTGTGTATTTTTGTATGCATTTTGACCACAAGTATTGTGGTTAATGCACACGTGATTCCTTGTAAAAAGGTTTCAGTTTTGTTGCCAGAAAAAATGGAAAAAACCCTATTATTATGATATGAGCATTGTCCATTGCAAATTAATTATTAACAAAGTAATTGATCAAACATTGCAATACTGGACCTCTTGAAAAGTTTTGATATTCAGTGAGGATTATATGGAAAATTATTCATTTTGTGTTATTTGTTCCAGACACAGATGCGTGCTGATGAAGCAATGCCAACCTTTGATGATATGACGATGCTAATTTGTACTCTTTCTTTGCTGTTGTAGGTGAGCTATCAGAATCGTTCTTCTTTCTCTATAGTGGCTTAACATGCTTTATCAGCAAGTTGCTTTGTCTGGAGCAAACAACACAGTTTAAAAGAAGATGTTACACAAAAACCAAATATCCACCACAGAGATGACGCCAGGAAATCAGATATAACAATAAAATACTCGAATGAGGAATTAGCTTTTTTTTTTCTCAAAACAGGAATCTAAAAATCTTGTGGAATACTCGCAAAGGTTTTCCTGGGATACGCCTCTGGTGAGAATTTAACTCATAAATCAGAGGATCGTCTCAAATTCCCATTTGATGGTCAATTCGGTTTTTGTGATCACAATATTTTATTTGTATCAGAATCAAAACATGTATTTATACTGCAGGAGGAATCCGGTGAGCTATAAAGTTATTTTTCACAGATTTCTAGTAGGGGCGGATGAGAACGTTTCAACAACAAACAGCACAAAAACGCGATAGGAGTGCAAAGCAAGGCCGTAGCCACGGAGTCAACATTGGGGGGGGGGGGGGCAAATCTTCCACGGGGTCTGGGGTCCCCCCCCCCCCCCCCCAGAGAAAAAATATATCTAAATTTGAAAACTAATTTCCTGCCATTTCCTTTCCTAAAATATTTAAAAATTCACTAACACATGGGATGGACTTTTTATTTATTTTTTACAATAATGTCTAATAGTGTATTGTATGTATTACATTGCTGTTTTTATTTTTTACATTTTCTTGTTTCATTGTATGTCATGGCAGAGATTAGGGATTAGTAAAGTAAAACCATAACCACAATCATATAAACAGAAATCTATTTTACAGAAATATATTAATATATTTGGGGGGGGGGGGCATTTTGAGCATATTTGAATATTGGGGGAGGGGGGGTCTCTCCCCCCCTCC